TCCTTTAAATATATATATATATTTAACATATATATATATATTTAACATATATATATATATGTTAAAAACAAAATAAACAAACAAAAAAAGCTGGCCGTTGATGGCTCACCCCTTTAATCCCAGCATTAGGGAGGCAGAGGCAGGCAGATCTCTGTGAGTTTGAAGCTAGCCTGGTCTACAGAGCGAGTGCCAGGATAGACTCCAAAGCTACACAGAGAAACCCTGTCTTGAAACACAAACAAAAAAAGAGGGACTGGAGAGATGACTTAGCAGTTAAGAGTACTGACTGCTCTTGCAGAAGACCCAATTCACTTCCCAGCACCCACATGGCAGCTTATAACTTTCTATAACTCCAGTTCCAGGGAATCCAACACCCTTACAGACATACGTGCAGGCAAACCATGATTCACATGAAATAAAAATAAATAATAATAATAAGATTCTACTGCTCATGTGAATAGTTCACAGGATATAATAAAAACATACAGGAGATACTCAATTTTTGATTATAGATCATTGAGAGAGTGATGTTCCTACTTATAAAAAAGTAAAGTCAGGAAAGGAGTCTGACTTGGGAACATCAGGAATGCTTTTCCCTCACTGTATTTCAGTTTCTAGTACGGTGTCCAAGGAAAAGTTATACACATACCAAGAGATTGGAGATTTAGGAGCTTACAGAGCTGAATCTGCATGAAACACACATTAAATGCAGGGAACAGAACAAGCTTCTAGGAAGCATAACAGTACGAGAAAACACTGTCTCCCCCCTCAGCTACAAGCTCTTAAAGAAAGTCTCAGTCACCCCTGATTGATTGGTTGTTGTGTTTAATAAATGTGTGGTTTGCATATGTGGAAAGTAAGAGCCACAGACTAATAAGATTCTCTTCCACAGGATGAGGATGAAGAGGTCTACAAGAGAGATTTTAGTGCACCTACTCTTGAGGACCATTTCAACAAAACCATTCTTCCAAAAGTCATGCAGGTATGGGGATTCTCAGTAACAGAAAACAGGGTGCTGCTGAGCAGGGCATGCTTGTCTGGTGCTATAATCATCCCTTCTTCTTTCAGGTCAAGAATTTTGGACGATCTGGTCGTACCAAGTACACCCACCTTGTAGATCAAGATACCACTTCCTTTGACTCTGCATGGGGCCAAGAGAGTGCCCAGAACACAAAGTTCTTTAAACAGAAGGCAGCTGGGGTACGTGATGTATTTGAGCGACCGTCTGCCAAGAAGAGGAAAACCACCTAGGTTTCAAATTACTTATTCCAACTCTGGGACACAAGGGCATCTGGTCCTCAGTTTTCTTTACCCATTATTTACATAGTTCTTGTATAGAGCCTTCTGGACTTCCTTCCGTAACGTGTGTTTGAAGGTGCTTTGTAAGAGGTTTGGACTCATTCTGAGAAACCCACAGAAAAGCACTAGCCAGGTAACATTAGAGGGTTCCCACTTAAAAAATTTTCTGAGAAATCTTAGGTTTCTCTACCATGGCTTCCCATATTGACTTGGGACTGTTCTGAGTTTACTTTTCCAACATCTTAGCCTGGATCAGCTTATGTGGGCATGTGAATGGATGACGCAGTCCTTCTTCCTTAGGGTCAGGAGCAGGGTATCAGGGAATCTAAACTCAATCCAACATGTTTTTACATTTGGGGTGTTGAATCTACTTTTCTAAGTAAACATACTTTTTAATCAGTGTGTGTGTGTGTGTGTGTGTGTGTGTGTGTGTGTGTGGAGGGAGAAAGTGTGTGTGTGTGTGTGTGTGTGTGTGTGTGTGTGGAGGGAGAGAGAAAGAGAATTACCATGCACCAGAAATATTTTTACCATAATATTGGAAACAAAATGTATAATCTGACAACTCTTAACCCACTAAAAAGAGGCTGAATATGGTGGCACATGCCTTTAATCTCAGCACTGGAAGGTAGAGACCCATAAAGATCTGTTCTTGTTCAAGGCCAGCCAGAGCTACCCAGCACCCTGAAGGCAGGGGCAGGTAAATTTGTAGATTTCTGAGTTGAGGCCAGCCTGGTTTTCATGAAACCCAGGGCTACAAAGAGAGACCCTGACTCAAAGAAAAAAAAAAAAAAAAGTCATCCTAACCTACATAATTCAGGGTTTACCTGAACTACATGAGACTTAGTCTCAAAAATAAAACATTAAATGTATAAAATATAGCAGTGAAGTGGACAAAGGGTCTTTTCTCTCCCTCACAGAAGAATTTGAATCAAGGGCCTGGTATATGCTAGTCAACTGTTCTGTCATTTTGCTATATCATATGTGTGTGTGTGTGTGTGTTTTAAAAGGGTCTCACTAAGCTACTTGGGCGGCCTTGAACTTGAGATACTGGGCCTGCAAGATGTTTTATTTGGTTAGACCCCTGCCAACAGGTCTTTTTTTTTTTTTTTTTTTTTTTTTTGGTTTTTCGAGACAGGGTTTCTCTGTAGTTTTGGAACCTGTCCTGGAACTCACTCGGTAGACCAGGCTGGTCTCGAACTCACAGTGATCCGCCTGTCTCTGCCTCCCGAGTGCTGGGATTAAAGGCGTGTGCCACCAACGCCTGGCCTGCCAACAGGTCTTAGCAACCTGAATTTGATCCCTAGCCCCACATAGTGGTAGAAAACCCAGTGTGGCAACCAGCAAAGCAATCATCTGACTTCCATTCATGCACTTTGGAATGTATGTATTTGTGTGCACAGGAGATGTACTTTAAAAAAAAAATGCTGAACATAATCTCAGTACACAGGAAGCATGGCAGGTAGGCGAGCAGATCTCTTGAGTTGAAGCTCAGTCTACATAGCAGAGTTAATCTGTCTCAAAAAAGATAAAGAAAGGATGTAATGAATTTGAGACTCTTTTTACCTCAGCCTCTCAAGTGACTGAGATTACAGACATGAATCACCATGCTTAAAACATTTGCACCCTGCCACCCTGCTAGAAACCAAGTCCAGGACCTTGCATATGCTAGACAAAGTACTCAACCAGACTATATGCCCAGCCCTAGCCAATTCATATTCTGATCATCCTTTGATCTCAGAAACAAACTCAAATAGATAGACAGCAATTAAATAGCACCCAAATCTGTTCTAAGAGCAAATTCAGATGTATTTGGTTGCCCTTGTTTTCTACATGGTAGCATTGTATAGATCAATGATATAAAATAGGACATGACTCATTGAGTCCAGTTCCTACTAATCTTTCTTATGCAGCTCATGAATTGGGTGAAGCGAAAACCAATGCTCTAAGTAGCAACCTACAGCTGTAACTACTAGAGCTAAGTCTACTTGCCCATGTAATATTTACTGTGTAACCAACCGCCATGCACAGAATGAATTTCATCCACTGAATAACTTTCCTTGGTTACAAAAAAAATGAGAAAAAGAAGGGAAATGAGAAGAGAGATGAAGAGGTGGCTCAGTGATTAAGGGCACTTCCTATTCCAGAAGACCAGCACCCTTATCAGACAACTCACAAACTGCCTATATCCCTAGCTGAGATCTGAAGCCTCTGGCCTTTGAGGGCACCTCCAGTCATTTAGAGATGAACACATAATTAAAAAGGTTTTTTTTTTTTAAGACTAGACCAGGTGGTCTCAACTCCTAAAGTAGAGAGGCAAAAGGGGGATCACCTGACCCCAAGTTCAGGACAAGATGAAACTTGATCTCAAAATAAAAAATAAAAATAACCCACAGGTTAGAGGTGTAGTTCATTAGAGTACTTGCCATAGAATGGTTAAGGGCCCCAAGTTTTATTCTCAGCACCACGTTCTTAAAATAACCCCTACAAGACCCATTCATAAGCTGTTGATAAAGTTGCTTATATCTTACATAAAATTAAAAGTGTGATTACTAAGAAATAAGAAAGGAGACGCCTTTAATCCCAGCACTCGGGAGGCAGAGGCAGGCGGATCTCTGTGAGTTCGAGGCCGGGCTGGAACGACAGCCTCCAAAATACAGAGAAACCCTGTCTCGTAAAAAAAAAAAAAACAAAAAAAAAAAAGGAGAGCACTGAGCCAGATGGTGGCACACAGAAGTAGAGACAGAAGGGTCACAAGTCCCAGTACAGCTTCATCTACACTGCAGATGTGGATGTATATATACATGTATATCTAGTTGCTGCACTACTTAGTGTGAGTATGTGAACACATTTTGGCATGTGTAACTCAGAGGACATAACTGTCCTTCTGACAGTCACCTTAGTGTTTTGGGACATGGTCTCACAAAGCCTGAAGTTCCTAGCTAGGCCGTGGTAACAAATGCCTTAAATCCCAGCACTCAGGAGGCAAGAGGATCTGAGTTCAAGGCCAACCTGGCCTACAGTGAGTTTCAGGACAGTCAAGGCTACCCAGAGAAACCCTGTCTAGAAAAAAAAAAGACTGTGGTGGCGCACGCCTTTAATCCCAGCACTCGGGAGGCAGAGACAGGCGGATCTCTGTGAGTTCGAGACCAGCCTGGTCTACAGAGCGAGTTCCAGGACAGCCTCCAAAGCCACAGAGAAACCCTGTCTCGAAAAACCAAAAAAAAGAAAAAGAAAAAAAAAGACTGAAGTTGGTGATTAATCTAGGCTGACTGGGCAATGAGTTGTGAGATGTGCCTGTCATAGCACAAATCCTAGTGCTGGGGTTACAGTATCATGTCACCACTTTTGAAGTTTTTTGGTTTTTTTTTTTTTTGTGGTTTTTTTCAAGGCAGGGTTTCTCTTGGTAACCCTGGCTGTCCTGGAACTAGCCCTATAGACCAGGCTACCACCTAGAATGTGTTATTCAGGGCTGGTGAAAGCTCTGTGGAAAGGGGCACTTGGTGGAAGCAGAGTTGTCTCCACATCAAGCACTATGGCAGAAGAATGCCCAGACACACACACAAAGTAAGTATAATAAAACAGCCTGTATGTGAACATTAGGTACGTCTTTGTATTGACTGCTCATAATTTCATGAAGGTCCAACACAGAAAATGACAAGAGATATAATGCATCTGATCCGAGATAAAACTGGAAAAAAAAAAACAGCATAACAAAACACTTTATTTCAGTCACTCAGTCCACAATGTCCGAAAAAGCACATCATCAGTTGGTTAAGGCAATAAGAGCCTCCACAACGTTGCCCATGTGTTCCCGCAAGCTCCTTTCTGCTGCTGCTCGAGAGATCTCCATCTCTGTCATCTGCAAGGAAAGGGTAAATCATGTCACCAAAGCCTCCTCTCAGGCATACATCTGTCAACTAATTTCTAACTCCGTTTGTTAGGAGTGCATATAAGTAGAACTTCTCTTGGGCATCCATTAAAGCATTACTACTCACTATCAACTCCAGATCTTCCTTCTTGATAGTCACCTTTGCCAGCTCCTTCTCCCTGTGAATATATATGTGTATATATGCATCTGTCTTCATTCTCTACCTCTGCCATAAACTCCCAGAAGTAACACTCCCAATTTCACACTGCAAATAGGTCGAACAAGGTTGACTGTAAATATTAAATAGACGTGCCCATTGGAGGCTTTCCTTCCCCTAAAAACAGTGCCACTAACAACAAAGTTGTAAACCCTAGATCTACAGGAATTGGTTAAAAAACGTTTGTTTTTCTGGAGAATGAGGACCCCTTACGCTGACAGTGCGCTTTAAACTTACCGCTCCTGTTTTGCCTTTTGCTCCCTGGACCGTCTGTCTCCAATGACGGACATAGCCTGTAGAAAACACGAGTCTAGTTACCTACCACCGTGTGACCCAAAATTTCCTATCTAAAACGCAATACCAAAAATAATAACCACGTGATTCTTCAAGCATTCACAATGACCAGTGTTCTCGGGACCAAAGGACTACACTTAATTCCGTGCACCTGAGATCCATTTAGGCCCAATCAAATTCTTAAGCAAACCTCAGACTGGGTGAGTGTTGTCGCTTATCCCCATCCTGCCTACTCCCACTATCGCGATCTGCGGTTCCTGAGCCACTGCTAAGTAGCAAACGGGTCAGTCTCAACTCACCCCTACCCCATTCTCAAGCCCGCTCATACAAGCTTCCGGTCAACCTCACCGTCTCTAGATTCGAACTCTGGATCTCCTTCTCCTCCGCGTAGTCAGTGACCCGCTCCAGGTCAGCAGCACCACTGTCATGCTTCCGTGGCTTTTCGGGAGGCCGCTCCGGGCCGCTGGTTTCGGTCTCTAACTCTAGCTCCACATCTCCCTCGGTCGCCATTTCGATCTCACCGCGCCGCCGCATGAGCTGCCGCCGCTTCACAACTTCCGGCAAACCTCAGCTTCCGCCCAGATAGGGGCGGGGCAGGCTCTGAACCACACCTTTGTGCCTGTCTTGAGAAGTTTATGCTAGGAAGGCAGGCGGTTGGTTCGCTTTTGACCTCCTCTCCAGTTGTGTTTTCTGCAGGCTCCTTCGACTAATCTGTTCACTACCCACACCACCTAAATGCACAACCTCACTTCTTCTCCTAAGAACAATCCCTTCACACACAAAAAACAATCCCTTGAGTTCCTCCCTTACACACACACACACACACACACACACACACACACACACACACACACACACACAAGGAATTCTGACCAACGAAGGCGGCCTATGGCTAATCCTAAACCAATTAAAAAAACCTAATCCCCAGACCAGATAGGCCAGCTGCTCCTAATCTCAGAAAACAGTCCAAATGATCTGGAATAGGAAGCCCAGTGAAGGCATCTTCACAAAAGTATTTGCATTTACTACTTGAGAATGATCTGTATTCATTTTCTAACATGCCCATTCTACTGCCTTAAGACTGAGTGATTAGCCCAGCACAGCGACTGCCCAATGGGTGAAAATCTTGAGAAACTGCTGTTCCTCATCATCCTTTCCAATAGCGGATCTACGTCTAATCTCTGGACCAAAAATGATAGGAGCAAAAGCCGTGACAGCCCAGACCACCACCCAGGGCCTTGCACAGCAGTACAGTGGAATCGACGATGTCATAGTGAAAACCCCCTTTTATCAGGTGAGAGGGCATTTAAGGGGTCAGACTTGAAGATGCCCTTAGCTGGAAAAGAGTTGGGGAGGCAAACCCAGTTCTTTGCCTCGATAATCAATAAACCTCTCATCCCACATTCCCAGGCATAGAGCATTGGGGAAAAGTAGGTGGTTCAAGCCTATACTAAATTTCTTGCAATGAAAATCTTGCTAGTGCTTAGTAGAGGCAATCCTATGTAGCTCATCACAAGACGGTAGGATGAAGGGTTTTGGAATTTTACCTTAGATTAACCCCACTCAGTATATACCACCCCTTGCAAAGCTCCACCTTTGCATCCTGCATCTGCTCTATCCTCAGGTGACCTGCTGTTGCCCATCTAGGAGGCCCTCTCTCACTGAGTCTTCTTGTAGCCGACTGCTCTATATCCTTCTCCATTTGGGGACCTCAGCAATCTGCTGCCTCCTGCTGTCTAGGACAGTAATAGAGAGAGTCTGGGGCAAAGCACATGGGGTAAGTTGGCAGGGGTTGCAAAGTGAGGAAAAGAAACCAGTAACATTTGGATTGAGAACAGGAAGCGAGTGTCAATCTACAAGTGAGAAGTTGAGACCTGTTCATGCATTGTGACTTGTCCTAACTTTTCTCACAACCAAACTCTCTGCAGATCCAGATGCCCTCGGTGCTATGTGCCCACCTATTTGGCAACTCAGACTGTCCAGTGCTCAGTGGCTCTGGGGCTGTGTATCGAGTATGTGCAGGAACTGCCACTTTCCACCTGCTGCAGGCTGTCCTGTTAGGCCGCCTCCACTCCCCCACCAGTCCTCGTGCACAGCTGCATCACAGGTTTGTATATATTTTTGGATGGGGATGGGACAGAGGAAGTAGACACGAGTTCACTAAGGAAACTCCAGGATGAAGAAAGAGCACTGTAAAAGGACAGAAAACAGGTTTATAAATCCCTGGGCTCTAAACTGAATGAAGCAATGGTTATACGCAAACCTTCCTTAAAGTGTTGCTCAGGTGTGACTTTTGGCATTTGAGTTAGAACTTGGACTATGGGATTTGGGGCTGGTTCCATGGCTCTTCTACTTGTTTCCTCTGCCCACCTGTCATACCTTTTTTCTTCTTCCCCCATTGCCTTTTCTCAATCTGGTTTTCTCTCTACCCCACTAGCTTCTGGAGCTTCAAGTTGGTGTTCCTGTTAGGTCTCTGTACTGTTGCCTTCTGCATCCCTGATGAGCACCTCTTCCCAGGTAATTGTCATCTTACACCCTCATTACCAAGAGTAGGCTACGGCTTCCTACTGAATGACAGGAAGCTGGAAATAACAACATACATCTGTGATCCCAGCACACAGGAGACTGGAGCAGGATTGAGAGTTTGAGACCTGCCTAGGCTACTTACTACACAGGCTCCTAATCTAAAAGGGGGTGGGGGGATACACTGACACAGTGAGACCAGCTAGAGCTAACAGTTCCCAATGGTGCCTGTCTTGCAGCCTGGCATTACATTGGCATCTGTGGAGGCTTCACATTCATCCTATTACAGCTGGTGCTAATCACAGCCTTTGCCCACTCTTGGAACAAGAATTGGTAAGGAGCACCTATCCCTAAAGCCTCATCCCAAGGAGATTGACAAGCATTACTGGATAAATACAGAAAGGCTGGGCAAAAGCCTCCCAATGAACAGTACCAAGATGCTCAAGAAACCAGATGTGATAACATTCACTTGTGATCCCAGCACTGGGGAGGTGGCAATGGGAGGGTCAAAAGTTCAAGGCCAGAACAGGATACACGTTATCAAAAAAGAAAAAGAAAAAAAAAAATACAAGCTAGGTAGGGAGTTCCTAGTCTTTTTAAAACAAAACAAAAACAGGTAGTCAAGAACGGTGATGCACATTGGGCGGTGGTGGCACACACCTTTAATGCCAGCACTGAGGAGGCAGATGCAGGCGGAGCTCTGTGAGTTCAAGACCAGCCTGGTCTACATGAGCTAGTTCCAGGACAGCCTCCAAAGCCACAGAGAATCCCTGTCTCAAGGAACTCCCCCCACCCCCCCAAAAAAAGAATGGTGATGCATTTCAGCTGGGCATTAGTGGTGCACCCCTTTAATCCCAGCACTGAGGAGGCAGAGATAGGTGGATCTCTGTGAGTTTGAGGCCAGCCTGGTCTACAAAGTGAGTTCCAAGACAGTTGGGGCTACAGACAGAAACCCTGGCTCAAAAAAGAAAAAAAAAAGTGACAAACACCCATATCTCAACACTCAGAGTACTGAGGCAGGAGGACTGCCAATTCACTCTGAAATACATAGTGAGTTCAAGGACTGTCTGGAGTCTATATAAAGATCCTATCTCAAAACAACAACAACAACAACAACAACAAAAAATACTCAAGGGCCAGGCAGTAGTGGCACACGCCTTTAATCCCAACACTCAGGAGGCAGAGGCAGTCGGATCTCTTTGAGTTCCAGGCCAGCCTGGTCTACAGAGCGTGTTCCAGGACAGCCTCCAAAACAATGCAGAGAAACCCTGTCTCGAAAAACCAAAAAAAAAAAAGAAAAAAAAGCTCAAGAATGTACTGTGTGGACCAGCAGTCTAATCAGTCTGCTGAGAGATAGGGAATAGTCAGTCCATATGGGCTGGAGTTAGAAACCATTACCCACTTCTCTGTAGGCAGACTGGCGCAGCCCAAGACTGTAACTGGTTTCTAGCCGTGTTACTGGCCACCCTCGGATTCTACGGTCTGGCAGGCGTGGGAACTGTGCTACTGTTCCACCACTACACACACTCTGATGGTTGTCTGCTCAATAAGATGTTACTCAGCCTGCACCTTTGCTTCTGTGGCCTCCTCTCTTTCCTCTCCATCGCACCTTGCATCCGCCTCAGTGAGTATTTGTGATTTAATGTTCCAGATTTTGGGGTGGGCTGTGTTCCTTTTTGAGTATTATAGCAAACTTTATTAGCCTTCTCTGCTGTTACACACACACACACACACACACACACACACACACACAAAGATGGGGGAAAATTCAAGTGCAAAGTAGAGTAAGTAGAGAGTAAATTGACTGTCAACACCTGTTCTTCCCTAGAGCGCCCAAGTTCTGGCCTTCTACAAGCTTCTATCATCAGCTGCTATATCATGTATCTGACCTTCTCTGCACTGTCCAGCCGTCCCCCAGAGACAAGTGAGAACCCAAGTGCTGAAGACTTTTTCTGTTAATGCTAAATACCCAGCTTTGTTCTTAACCCCTTTTCCTTGCCCCTCAGCAGTAACCTTTCAAGGACAGAATCACACCTTGTGCCTGCCTGGCAAGAATAAAATGGGACCACAAATACCAGACACCTCAGTAGCAGTGTTGAGTGCTGGCATCATGTACACTTGTGTGCTTTTTGCTTGGTATGTAAAGGTGTCAAAGGGAAGTGTCAGAGGATGCCCAGGTCTCAGTGAAGGAGAATGTTGAGGGCTGTGGTTATTTGAACTGTAGAGCAAGACTAGAACCAGAAAAGCTCCCCATGAACAGGGACAATTTCTAAGAATAGCACACTTTGTCAGATGATCTGTATGAGATGGAGGGGGCAGGGGAAAAGTATCTTGAGTTTAAAATTTGTAGACTTTATGGGCCTCTGAGAACACAATACCACCCCCCATCCCCCCACCCCAGAAGAACACCACCATGGACTAGTTGGCAGTAAACGCCCCTAATCTTTCTTACTTGACCCAAAGTTAATAACTTCCTTTCACAGCAACGAAGCTTCCTACCTGGCTGAGTTATTTGGACCCCTGTGGATCATCAAGGTTTACAATTACGAGTTCCAGGTGAGCATCAAGAGCTCAATAATCCCAACATCCCTCCCCCAAACACAGAGACACACATCCTACCAACCTCTACCCAGAATGCTCAGGTTCTAGCTATTTCCTTTTATTGAGTACCCACAATGTGCTAGGCACTGTGCTAGATACTTTACATACATAATCTCATTTCATTTAATCCTCACAACAACCCTGTGAGGTAGGTATTTGCTCCATTTCACAAATGGAGGAATTGAGGCACAAAAGATTAAACATCTTACCAAAGTTTGCATAGCCACTTATATGCTGGAGCAAGAATTTGAACCCAGGTGTGCCTCCACTTCTTACACCAGGCCAATCTTTTCAAAGGGAAAATTTTCTAAATTAGTACCCTCACATTGTCTTGAAGCTATTTCAACACATGTTGATTTGTTTTACAGAAGCCCTCCCTCTGTTTCTGCTGCCCCCAAACAGTGGAACCAGAGGATGGTGAGTCGTGAGCAATCTCCAGGGAAGTGCCAAAGAGCCCTCGAGAGCTGCTGGGAGAGGGGAGTTCCAGCAACACTGCTTCCCACCAGCACTTCTCTCTCTCTCCAGGTCAAAGCAGCAGAGTCAGGCCAGCTGACCAGGAGACCCCACAAGCTGCTCAGGTGCAAAGGCAGCATCTTCCCTACAGCTACTCTGCCTTCCACTTCACCTTCTTCCTTGCCTCGCTCTACGTTATGGTTACCCTTACCAACTGGTTCAGGTAGGATAAAAGCAGACGTTAAGAAAACCTAGCTATTTTGAGCCAGGATTTGGTGGCACACGCCTTTAATCCCAGCACTCGGGAGGCAGAGGCAGGCGGATCTCTGTGAGTTCAAGGCCAGCCTGGTCTACAAGAGCTAATTCCAGGACAGGCTCCGAAACAATACAGAGACCCTGTCTCAAAAAACCAAGAAAAAAAAAAAAAAAAACCTAGCTATTTTAAAGAAAAATTTGGCTACGGGGGGAAGCAGGGCAGCCCAAAAGCTAAGGCCCTGAAGAATCTCTAATTAGCCTTTGGTTTCACAGCTATGAGGGAGCAGAACTGGAGAAGACCTTCACTAAAGGTAGTTGGGCTACCTTCTGGGTCAAAGTTGCCTCATGCTGGGCATGTGTACTCCTCTATCTGGGGTTGCTCCTGGCACCACTCTGTTGGCTTCCGACTCAGAATCACCACCACCCGGGTGGTGGCAACACTGCCATCTCATCAGTACTGCCAGGTAAAAACTAGCTCCCCATCTATATGACCAAAATGGGGTACCCTTTAGATTACAAGTCACCTAGCTGAGCTCAGTAGTCAAGGACAAATGAGTGGTTACCACACATAAGCTCTCAATATTCCATCTAAGTATCTAAATTGGAAGTGGCCAAACACACACCCTAGTTTCTTGATTCACTAAAACTAGTGTTTTCATTTATGCTCAAGAGTCTAACTCCCAAATCAGTAAACTCAGAAGCTTTGGCTGGTCCTAGCATGTGGCACCAGCCCCTTCCTAGTTCCTGAGCTGGAGATAAGGAGCAGGGAAAGAGCAACAGAGACTGAAGATTTGGGTTTGCTCTTGGCAATCAAAAGAAAACAAGTGGTCCAGCCCTGGGCACAGGGATGTAAGAAGCCCAGAACCACAGAACAAACCAGGGCACAGAAGAATGGAGCAGAGGCTACCACAGTTTTAATCTCGATCCTGATCTTGAGGTCAAAGAAAATGGAAGATAAAAACCACCTTCATTCCATGAGGAATGACAGAAGAGAATGTGAGCACTTGAGAGCAGCTGACCACTGGAAGTTGGTGAACAGGATTTGTTGGGGTTTTTTTGTTTTTTTCCTTTTGATTTTTTTCTTTTTTTGGCCAGCTTTCAAGCAAACAAAGAATGAGGAAGAGACATACTTAGATCCTTCCCCTCTTAGGGCCCTCAATACCATCATGGAGATGGTGTTCAAGGTCTGAGTGGGGCATAAAAATCACAGAAAAGAAGTCTCCATAGTTCTTACAGGATTCCTCTACCACAGAACTAGAGTGCTTTTCTGGTTGCCATAGTAAAATAAAGGCTTCTTCTGTGATGTTTCCCTTATGAAGTTTACAAATCTCGCTTAGGTGCCTAAAAGAACTCTCCCCTTTTAGTGGGAAAGGGCAGTCACTTCTCCATCCCCATCCCCCCAATCCCCAGTCAAACCAGGCGCTCAAGGAATTACAAAGCTACTTTTAATACTTTGGGGTGTGCCCCACAGGAATAAAAAACACTGGGAAGGGGTAACCCCCTCACCCCCAGGAGTGGCCCAGGGGGAGAGAGGCTCCCTGAGGGGAAGGAAGCACAAAAGGAACCCGCTGCAGACTCAGGGCAAAGGGAATGCCGTCGGTGCTGGGACCTGTGAGCGCTACAGGAAGAAACTCGAGCATGGTGGACTGACTCCAGGCACACAGGCGTAGGGCAAGAGGGTTGGACACGAAGCCACAAAGCTACTTGGGTTCCTCCTTCTTCTCGTTTGCCTTTTTCTGCTTCTGCTGCATGATCTCCGAGTCCCTGGGGGTAGAGATGATGGGGCACTGGGAGGTACCAGAGGGCAAAAAGGACAAGATGCAGGGGGATGAAGGGTACAGAGGATAAGATGGAAGTGGGTGGGACAAAGTTCAGCATACGGCTGCTATATTCCCACCCTAGGGGAGCAAGTGGAATAGAGCTAAGGCTCAAAAGGCAACCAGTCTCCATCTGGATGTTGCCCAAGGGGTCAGAAGTCTGGCCACTCAGGCCCAAGGCTCTCTATTCTGTACTGAGTACCACACCCAACAACACTAGTGAGAAAGTCGGGAGAAGGGAGGAGGAGATACAAGCAGCAAGGAGGGCCAAAAGTACGAGGCTGTCAAAACAACTGTACTTGATATATGAAGCTCCCTGCCCTTGCCCTTAAGGTCACAACCCGGGCACTCAGAAATCAGCCTGCGGACCGGGACCCGCCCCAGTCCCTTCCTGTAGAGCTGTGACCTAACAATTTGGAGTGGGGAGGAAATAAAACCCTAGAGGAAGCAATGCACTCTTCCTCTCACACCTAGTCCAGACTCGAGCCCTGAAATAGTTCTCTTTCCTGATACACCCCTCGGTCTAACCCAGGTCTCCCCGTCCAGTCCTGACCCGTCCCGTCCTTTCCCCTCCCTGGGGCTACCTCTGCTTGCGGGCGGCAGCAGAAAGCCCATCATCTCGACGCTTTCCCTTAACGGAGTCGCTCTGCTTCTTCATGTTCTTCTGGCGGGCGAGCTCTCGCTGGTTACCGCCTAAGGAGGGAAGGCAGAAAGTCAGATGCCGGGGCCGGTCCACACACACACACACCAGCGCCCCTCCTCCCGCAACTGGGACCCGACTATGCCCCGCCGCGGCGCCGACCCCATCGCCGAGCTTCAGCTGCCGGGGTGTGGCAGCCGCCACGGGGCAGGTTAACTTGGGGTGCGAGAGGACGATGCGGCCGAAGCCGCTGGCGGCGCGAGACAAGTTTGGGGTGCCGCGGGGGCCCAGACAGCTGGTACAGCGTGTGGGGAGCCCCGGGGCCTCCGGGACACGCGCTGGGGCCCACCGCCCAGGGTACCCGGCTTCCCCAGCGCGGAAAGCCGCCGGCGGCCCGCGCCCAACACAGGGGGCTAGACAAGTAGCAGCCGTGCAGAGGGCTGTGTTTCCGGCCGGCCGGGAGGCAGCTGGAGAGCGCTCCCTGAAGAGCCTCCCGCCGGAGAAGCTGAAGGGACCAACACGCCGGCGCCCGGCCGTGCCGTTAGCGAGAGCCGAAAGAAAAGAGCGAGGGGAAGGGATCCCAGCACTCACGGGTCATGGCGACGGCAGCGGTTCCGACCTGCCTCCGTTGCGTCCCCTCGTTCGGGCCGACGTTGCAGGCCCCGCCCCCTTCGCGCGACGCCACCAAGTCGTCTCCTTCCTCCCGCCCCTTCACGCCCCGACGCCGACTCTCATTGGGCAGAGCAAAACACGTGGAGCGCGGTGCCACGCGCCAGTCCCCGAGGGCAAAGAGCCGAGCTTCGCGGGCGGAGCGCCTGGCGAGGGGCGGGGCTTCCCGGGAGCGCAGGGTCCCGCACAGGGGAAACTAGGCCGGGTCACGTGGGCGGTGGGGTGGAGGGGTGCGGCTGGCGATGTGGCGCCCCGGCGGTGCCGAGCACGTGACCGGGCAAAGTGACCTCATGTGGGACACTTTAGGGTGCTGACAAAGTCGCCCTGAAGGAACGCGGTGGCGGGGTGGGGAGGGTGTGAGGGCGGGATTTCCTAGGTGGCTCATCCGGTTGTGTGCCATCTGTCTCTCTGGAGCTAAACTTTGAGCTGTTAACTTAGGACACCCATCCCCCAGCCTCTTGGCGGAACACTTGCCACAGCTCGTCTGAAAACGTACACAAATAATTGGGAAACTCCTTTCCACTTTCATCGCCCCCAATTGTAGCCTCTTCCAGTGTCGTGAAGTGATCCTGCAACCGTTTCCCAAGCACTTGAGCCCAGGTGCTCAAGTGCATGCTCTTCTCTACAGCCAACTTCCAGACTGCCCACGGAAACTCTGTGCCTTGGGAGTGATGGAGCACACCCAAACACGTAGGGTTACTTCAAGAACTGAGATTAGGGAGTGCTCATAGTGTCTGCATCACTCTTAGACCGTTTCTATATTGGATCATCTCCCCCAACAATGCATCTGGTTTGTAAGACAAATCATACTGGTAAATGGGGGTTAGTTAAACCTTCTCTCCCATGGGTCTAAAATAACCTGAGTTCGACTATCATGAAACAACTCATCATCGGTCAGAATAGTAGGATTAGCTTTCTGCCACCCAATCCCAAAACAACCTTAGTCAAGGTCTTTTATCTAGCATCTTCGCTAAGCAACTGAATTCAGGAAGCCCTCTCTCTAAAGCAGTAGTTCGTAATTTTTGGGTAGCGACCCTTCCAAAGGGGTCACCTAAAACCATCAGAAAACACAGATATTTAAATTATGATTCATAACTAGCAATAACAGTTGAAGTAGCAACGGAAAAAAATTTATAGTTGAAGGTCACCACAACAAGAGAAACTGTGTTAAAGGGTCAAAGCATTAGGAAGATTGAAAACAAGGGCTCTAAAGTCTATAAAAGTCAAGCGTTTCCTTTGTTCTGTGAGTTGCTATTGGATCTATTATCCCAGCTTCTCCAACACAGCAGGTGGCCAGAATTTCTAAAGGATAGCTTTCCCATAATCCTCAAAGCATTCTAAAAAGAATCTTCTGGTAAACTGGGCAGTGATGCCACACACCCACCCTTAATCCCAGCACTTGGGAGGCAGAGACAGATGGATCTCTGTGAGTTCAAGGCCAGCCTGGGCTGCCCCATGAGTGCCAGGACAGGCTCCAAAGCTACACAGAGAAACCTTATCTTGAAAAAAACACAAAAAATGACAAGGTTTTTCTGTGTAACCTTGGCTGTCCTGAAACTCACTCTGTAGACCAGGATGGCCTCAAATTCAAAGATCTTCCTGACTCTGCCTCCTGAGAGCTGAGATTAAAGGCAAGTACCACCACCCAGTTTTGCTCCCCGACAGCCACCCACCCACCCACATAGTGGGAACTGAACCTATGGCCTCATGCATGCTAGTAGACAAGCATTCTACCACAGAGCTACATATCAAGTCCTCTTTCCACTCTTTTATTTCAAGACAGGTCTCACTAAATTGTCTTGGATGACTTGACTACATGTAGACTTTGAGCTTTCAATATCCTTACCTCTGCCTCCTAAGTTCCTTGGAATACATGCTTGACTGATTACTATGGTGGTTGTGTTTTGTTTTTAGCTTTTGTGTGTTTTTAAAAATATATGTTAGAGCTAGGCGTTGGTGGCACATGCCTTTAATCCCAGCACTTGGAAGGCAGAGGCAGAAGGATCAGAAGTTCAAGGCTAGTTTGGGCCACAAGAGACTGTTACAGGCAATCTAGAAAATCCTGACTTACTTTTCTTCTTCTTTTTTTTTTTTTTTGGTTTGGCTTTTTTTTTTTTCAAAATAGGGCAATAGGGCCTCTCTGTGTAGCCCTGACGGTCCTGGAACCCTCTCTGTAGACCAGGCTGGCCTTTAACTCACAAAGATCTGCCTGCCTTTGCCTCCCCAGTGCCAGGACTAAAGGCATGCGTCACCACCCAGTTTATTTTATTTCTTGTGTGTATGAATGTTTTGCTGCACTTCTGTATGTGTGCCGTGTGTGTACCTGGTGCCTTTGGAGATCAGAAGAGGGCATTGGGTCCCCTGGAACTGGAGTTACACAGATGGCTGTGAGTCACCATGTGGGTTCTGGGAACTGACTCTGGGTCCTTTGCAAAGACAACAAGTGCTCTAAACAGTTAAACCTTTCCTCCAGCCTCCATAGTTCACTCATATTTAAAAAACAAAGAGAAAAGAAGCTGGGCTTTGGTGGCGCACGCCTTTAATTCCAGCACTCGGGAGGCAGAGGCAGGCGGATCTCTGTGAGTTCCAGGCCAGCCTGGCCTGCAGAGCAAGTTCCAGGACAGCCTCCAAAGCTACACAGACAAACCCTGTCTCAAAAACAAACAAAACAAAAAACACTAAACAGATGATAAACTAGAAGAGGGGCTGGGGTGGCAGCTCAGAGGTGATGTGCTTGCCTTGCACGCTTGTATGCTCAAGGCCCTAAGCTCCACACCAAGTACAAAGACAAAAGTGGATAAGCAAACTCAATGCAGAGTAGAAAGCTGGAGAATACATTGAAATGATTTAGGGCTGAAAGCTCTGAAGCAAAGAGATGAAGAGACCCCCAAAATGAAGGGGGAAGAGCAAAGCAGAGTAGAAGGAAAGGCTACGGGCACCATCAGCAACACCTGTTCATAACTCAGAAAAACCGGCCTATGGAGCCTTCCCAACTCTGACTTCCATGGGGACAAGCTGCTTTGGGTACCCCTGTTAGAAAGAGACGACAGAATCTGCACTATGTACAGAACTGAATGATGAGTAAAATAGTGTGGGAGACAAGGGAACAATTTTTTTTTTTGGCACATGCTTGCTTATTACTTTCAGCAGTTTAGGTGAGTAAAGGAACAGAATGACAAAGCAAACAGTCCCCTCCTACCAACCACACCACCTACGTACTTTGCCCAAGACTATTATCAATCCTGGCAAAACCTAGCCTCATAGCTTTATCTACAGTCCAGCTTCAGCAGGGAGTGCCATAGCAGATTCACTTATTCTGTTCAATAAATATGCATTGTCCACTAGCTATGTATTAACTACCTTATGAGGTGTTGCATATACAGTGATGAGCAAAATATATCTCTGGGGGCTGATGAGACAGCTAAGCAGGTTAAGGCACTAGCTGGCAAACATGATGACCTAAATTCAATCCCCAGGAGCAACATGACAGAAGTAGAGAACCAATGTCTGAAAATTGACCTTGGACCTCCACACAAATGCCATGGTACACGCTCATCCACACAATAAGTAAATGTAATTTTAAATATGCTTAGAAGGTGCAGCAATGGTGGTTCTTGCCTTTAATCCCAGCACTTGTGAGGCAGAGGCAGGCAGATCTCTGTGAGTTCGAGGCCAGCCTGGTCTACAGAGTGAGTTCCAGGACAGCCTTCAAAGCTATAGAGAAACCCTATCTTGAAAAACCAAAACAAGAAAAAAAAAGGGGGGGTGGCTAGAGAGATGGCTCAGTGGTTAAGAGCACTGACTGTTCTTCCAGAGGTCCTGAGTTCAATTTCCCACAACCACATGGTGGCTCATAACCACCTTCAATAAGATCTGGTGCCCTCCGCTGGCATACAGGCAGAAGACTGTATACACAATAAATAAATAAAATATTTAAAAAAGAAAAATGCTATAGAAAGGGAAAAGGTGATCTCCCTCTCCTTCACACTATATGTGTTAGTATAGATTTATGCGAATTGTGACAATTGCTATAAAGAAAAACCAGGTTCTATGCAAGGGTGATATTCAAAATATTTCTCAGGGTGCACATCGTAAGCACTGACCCATCAAAACAGATGTCAATATAATTTGAATGAAGACTGTGGACAATTTTACTTGTCTCACTATGAAGTAACTGACTAGAACTGCTGCTTTTATGCAGGGAGTAAACTTGTAGGCTCCATGGCAACTGATCTGGGCCAGTGAGGTCTCTCATACTTGAGGCAAGAAGATGGAGAATTCACACAGCCAAGGAGAGAGCAAGAGAACACACTTCAGGAGAGGGAACCGCCTGTGAGGGCCATAAGGCCCTGCTCCCTTGGGCTGTCCCATCTAGAGTCATGGTTAGTGAGTAGGTAATAAGCTGCCTATGAAACGAGGCCAGGGAGGTAGGAAGGGCAGTATGACAGCAAGGCATACCAGGGCAAGATGTGAGCAGAGTGACAAGAATAACACGATTTTATTTATAAAAGCAAGGGAGTTTGTTCCCATGAAAGGATGCCATCAAAATCAAAATGTAATTACAGCAGGGAAGGCAATATAGCAACCTAACAGGTATGGTAGGAGCTTCACAGTGTATTTGGGGAGCCAGGTATGATGGTAGTTCACACTTGTATCCTTAGCACTCTGGAGGCTGAGTCAGGAAAATGGAGTTCAAGGGCAGCCTGGGCTGTATAGCAGTTCCTGGCTAGGCAGGGTTATACAGTAAGACCCTGTCTCAAAAACAACAACAACAAAAGAAAGAAAAGGAAGGAAGGAAGGAAGGAAGGAAGGAAGGAAGGAAGGAAGAAAGAAAGAAAGAAAGAAAGAAAGAAAGAAAGAAAGAAAGAAAGAAAGAAGCCAGGTGTTGGAGGTGCACACCTTTAATTCCAGCACTCTGGAGGCAGAGGCAGTGGATCTCTGTGAGTTAGAGGCCAGCCTGGTCTACTAAGCAAGTTCCAGGACAGCCTCCAAAGCCACAGAGAAAGCCTGTCTCCAAAAACCAAAAAAAAAAAAAAAAAAAAAAAAAGGAAGAAAGAAAGGTGGGGTGGGAAATGTGCCTGAAGCTACTGGCAGAAAGAATTCCCACAACAGAAAGGAAAGGAAGAAAGAAAAGAAAGAAAAAAAAAGAGTGAACCAAAAGAAAAAATAGTGATTGGGTGAAAGGACAATGGAGATACTTTTTTTTGTTTTGTTTTTTTGTTTTTTTTCAAGACAGGGTTTCTCTGTATTGATTTGGAGGCTGTCCTAGAACTCGCTCGGTAGACCAGGGTGGCCTCAAACTCACAGAGGGAGATACATTTTTTTAACTGATACTAATGCAAATATTCAAGTTTAACAAAAACTAACATTAGAAAGTTAGAGAGGAACTGTATGTATACTTGTGAGGCAGTAAAGAGTTAAGTTTGGGAGGACTGGATTCTTTTATTTACTTCTCTGCTTTCCAGCACTGAGGACTAATCCTAAAACCTTTCTCACAGCACTGGACCATTTAGCTATAGCACCAGGATTTTTACTTTCTCTTTTGAGTAAGGGTCTCACTGTTGTTCAGAGAGAATTTGGAATCCTCCTGTCTCAGCCTTCAGACTACTGAGATAACAGGGGTGAGCCACTATGACTGGCTTGACATCTCCGACATCTCCATTTTTTTTTTTTTTTTTTTTTTTTGGTTTTTCGAGACAGGGTTTCTCTGTGGCTTTGGAGGCTATCCTGGAACTCTCTTGGTAGTCCAGGCTGGTCTCGAACTCACAGAGATCCGCCTGCCTCTGCCTCAGGAGTGCTGGAATTAAAGGCGTGCCCCACCAACGCCCGGCCAACATCTCCTTTTTCTTTTTCTTTTGTTTTACTTTAAATTTTATTTTATGTGTATGAGTCCTCTCCTGACATCTATGTGTATCACGTGAGTGTCTGATGCCTGAAACTAGAATTACTGGCAATTGAAACTCACCATGTTAGCCGGTTGGTGGTGGTGCACGCCTTTAATGCCAGCACTCGGGAGGCAGAGGTAGGCGGATGTCTGTGAGTTCGAAACCAGCCTGGTCTACAAGAGCTAGTTCCAGGGCAGCCTCCAAAGCCTCAGAGAAACCCTGTCTCAAAAAACCAAAAAAGAAAAAGAAAAAGAAAAAGAAACACCATGTTTATGCTGGGAATCACAGCTGGATCCTCTGCAAAGGTGCAAAGGTATGCCTATAATCACAACACTGGGTGTGGTGGGCATGGCCCACACTTACAATCTCAGAACTCAGGAGGCAGAAGTAGGCAGTCTCTGTGAGTTCGAGGACAGCTTGATCATAACCAGAGCTACATAGAAAGATCCTGTCTCAAAAACCAAAATGACATGCTAGCACTACCTTATCTGTTTACAAAGCATTGAGTGTTGAGCCCTAGCCTTCCTGCATGCTTGACAGGAACTGTGCCCACTGAGCTATATCCTTAGCCCTGAGTGCTGGGACTAAAGGTGTGCACGACCCCTGCCTGGCTCCAAAAGTATTCTTATTAGAGTTGCTAATGATCCCACTTTTCTTTTTCTGTTCTGTTTGGTTTTAGAGATACGCTGCCCAGGTTGTTACAGGTTTCCCAGGCCACCCTCACTTTCCTCCATAACTGGGATGGTTGGTGTATTCCACCATAGCTGAATACAACCTGCCTTTCTACATTCAGTGGTCTTTTCTTTTCTTTTTTTGAATGGAAAAATCTATGATTTGTTTATTTCATAGTTCAAGTTCAAAAGCAAGAGACAATTTAACTAATAAAAGGGTAACAGGAAAAATGTAAAGAAAGAAAACAAAGCAGTAAGCAAAAATATGGAACACTTCACGAATTTGCATGTCATCCTTGTGCAGGGACCATGCTAATCTTCTCTGTATTGTTCCAATTTTAGTATATGTGCTGCCGAAGAGAGCACGGTCTTTTCTTTTTTTGAGAGGGGTATGATTGTAATTGAGTACGTGGTCTGTGCATGCTAAATACCTGTTCTACAGAACACTTTACTTAATACACAGCCACCCTTTCCCCACTCCCAAGCTTCCCTTCCTTGCTCTCTTTCCCTTAATTTCTGTAGCATTTGTCACCTTTCTAAGACATATTGTTTTTTCTTTCTTTCTTTCTTTCTTTTTTTTTTTTGGTTTTTCGAGACTGGGTTTCTCTGAATTGTTTTGGAGGCTCTCCTGGAACTCCCGCTGTAGACCAGGCTGGCCTCGAACTCACAGAGATCCGCCTGTCTCTGCCTCCCGAGTGCTGGGATTAAAGGCGTGCACCACCAACGCCTGGCTCTTTATTTCTTATATTAATTTTTAGTGTTTTTTCCTTCCCTTCTAGAATGTAAGCTTTCTCAAAGCAAGAATCTGTTACTTGATCTATCCCTAGGATTCAGTAAGTGCCTGGTACTCAGGAAATAATTTTTGAATGAATGAATGAATAAAAATGTAGATAATACCTATTGCGGAAGCCAAATAACAGGCAAAGTTCACAATGGTCACCCTACAAATGTCAGGTCTCTATCTCCATTTTTCAAATATCTTCCTTAGCTACCGATGTTCTATTCTCTCTTGAATTATTTATTGGTTTAGTTGTTTTTGAAATGGATATCTCTGTTGCCCAGATTGATCTCGAACTCCTGGGTACAAGTTATCCTACCATATGACTTTTCCTGTATTCTAGGCGCGCGTGCGCATTTTCCTGGAAACCAAACCAAGGGCTTCATGCATTCTAGGCAAGCACTCTACCCATGAGTTGGAGTCCCAGGGCTTAATCTCTCCTTTGTCTCCTTTGAGTTTAAATTTAGGAAAATCCTACAAAAGGTTCATGCTATTATCTAAGGAAAGAAAGCCCAGGTGATCAGCTTTACCTATCATAACTCGAAACCAGATGTGGTGGCCTGGACCTTTAATCCCAGCATTTGGCAGGCAGAGACAGGCTGATCCCTTAGTTTGAGGTCAGCCTGCTGTTCAGAATGAGTAGCAGGGAAGCCAGGGCTGTACAGAGAAACCCTGTCTCCAAAAGATGAAGTAGAAGGAGGAGGAGGAGGAAGAAGGGAAGGAAGGAGGAAGGAAGGAAGGAAGGAAGGAAGGAAGGAAGGAAGGAAGGAAGGAAGGAAGGAAGAAAGAAAACGAGGGGCTGGAGAGATGGTTAAGAACACTAGCTGGTCTTCCACAGGTCCTGAATTCAATTCCCAGCATCCACAGGATAGCTCAAAACCATCTGTAATGAAATCTGGTGCCCTCTTCTGGCCTGCAGGGATACATGCCAACAGATCACTGCATACATAATATATAAATCTTACAAAAAGAAAGAAAACAGGTTACAACCTCTTATCAAATTAGTAAATTAGCCGAGCATTGATGGAGCATGCCTTTAATCCCAGCACTCGGGAGGCAGAGGCAGGCGGATGTCTTTGAGTTCGAGACCAGCCTGGTTTACAAGAACTAGTTCCAGGACAACCTCCAAACTAACAGGGAAACCCTGCCGCAAAAAACAAACAAACAAAAAAGGAATTATATAGGTCGAAACAGAGATCCTGGTCATGAAAATGGAAATAAGGAATTCTGAGAAATAACCAAATGTGTACAGGTGAAGACAGAAAGGGCTGGTCTGAGATTTGTCCTGGGGTCTCAAAGCAATAGCATTTGTAGCTCTGAGATGCCTGGTAACTTCAAGGCATCTTCTAGTCATGAGTAGTGACTAATGTCTGCAATCCCAGCATTCCAACACTAGGCAGGAGAATCGCTAGTGAGTTCAGCAATAGTGATCTACATTGTGAATGAAACCCTCCCTAAAACAAAAAATAAAGGGGAGGGGAAAGTACCTTTTTGAAGGAGGCAGCTGCCGGTTTAGCCACTTTCACTTACGTTTATTAGGTCACGAAGTGACAGCTGGGATTGACTTGTGGCTTTCTGCCCTGCATTTCTTTTTGCCACCAACTACGCCCCACGTCCCCGCCCACCGATAGGCGAGGCAGCCTCCAGACAGCCAGGCTTCCAGGACTGATGAGGCACCCATCCACCTGGCTTTACAACCTCTCTAAACCCCACTTAGAAACTGGATTAGGACCCGCCTCAGCAGATGCTGCATCGCAGGGGAGAAAGAAAAAGCGATGTACTTGGTCCCTCTTGGGGTCTGCCATCCTCTGGCCTCCTGGGTCCCTCGGGCTCGGGGCCTTGGAGGCATAAATGACTCAATGCGTCTACCGACCAGCCTCGCTCTCCCTCCCTTCCCTGTGGGACTTAAACCCCCAAGTGGTTTCAAGTTAACTTTTTATTTAGAGACCGCGATTCTGAATCCAGAGTGGAAAAACTGAGACAGAACAAGGGGTTCTGCGTGACAGGTCAGACCCTGGAGGCACCCTTCGAAAAGCCCAAGACTGCCCAAGCCACCCTAAGAAGAAACCCCTTGGGTCCCGGCAGGAAGCCGGGGAGAGCAAGGCACCGCCCAGGCGGCTGGGGAAACTTTGGGGCGGTACCGGGGGCGGTGTCCTGGTGGAGGGCGGGGCAGACCCGGACAGCGGGAGTGCCAGCCTAGGCTTGCTAGGCAGAGGTGGCAGAGGTGGCCTTCGCCTGGGGTCTCGGTTCTGCTTGTGCGCGATTTTGGCACCATGGAGGGGTCCCAAGAAGCTCTGAGTGGGAAAATGCGGCTCCTTTTCACCCCTGCAGCTCGGACCAGCCTCCTGATGCTTAGACTCAACGAGGCGGCACTACGGGCACTTCAAGAGTGTCAGCAGCAACAGGTGCGGCTGGCCCCCAACCTCTTCTTCCCATCGCGATCAAGCAGACTCGACCTCAGCCCGCTACACTGGAGAAGGGGAAGGGGAGGAGAAGCTTATGCAGGTTTCGGCCTCCCCCACCTCTCCAAGTGAAGCCCGCCAGGCAGGTGTCCCCACCCCCCTTCCTGGGAACTTTGCTTCCTTTGTGCTTAGCTAGTGCTTGGGCTCTTCCCGCAGGTACGGCCAGTGATTGCTTTCCAAGGCCACCGAGGGGTAAGCGCGGGCCGGATGTGTGAGGGAGGTTGAGCGTGAGGGAGCATAAACGTGGGCTCCAGGAAGGTGCGCTCTGGGCCGGAGCTTGCCAGTGGTCATGGTCTGAGAAAGTCGAGAACTGAACCTTAAGAGGGTGAGGGGTTGACGGGGCTATGGTCCCAGGAGGCTGAGCATTCTCAGCCTCTTGGGGAACTCTGACCCAGCTGCACCTGGTGTGCTAACGAGCCCCTTGGGATCTGTCTTCAGTCTCAGACTTGTTTGGAGAGAAATGGCATGGGCAGGAGGAGGAGGGGCCGACTTAGCGGGAGGCATTACCATCTCTTTCTATCCCAGTATCTAAGGCTCCCAGGCCCTGGATGGTCCTGCCTCTTCTCCTTCATAGTATCACAGTGTGGCCAAGAGGGCACTAGTGGTGGCTTGGATCTTGTGTACCAACGCTTAGGCAGGTAAGAGAAAACAGACAACAGGTACAGGTTTGCAGAAAGTGGGAAGAAGGCCGGGCGGTGTAGGTGGTAGCGCATGTATTTAATCTCAGCACTCGGGAGGCAGAGACAGGCGGATCTCTGCCAGTTCGAGGTCAGCCTGTCTCAAAAAAACAAAAAGAAAAAAGAAAAGATCTTCAACCCATTTTTTTTTCTGTCGTTTTCCCCACCACTTCTTTCCAGATCTGGGCCTAACTGCCTCCAGTGCCTAGGCTCACTCAGAGAGCGACTCACTATTTGGGCAGCCATGGATACTATCCCAGCTCCACTGTTAGCTCGGGAACACCTGACTGAAGATCCCAGAGAGTCTGAGACTTGGCAGGACACAGGAGATGATCCTGAAGGCCATCCCCAGTTGGCACTAGAAGAGGTGAGGCCAGAAACAGCAGGGAGTCAGCGTAAGGTGGAGCGGCCAGGTCCAGGGAGCCCATTCTTCTAACTTCCACTGACAGGTGTCAGATCCACTGGCAAGCAACTCTGAACAGTCACTCCCAGGATCCTCCAGTGAACCCATGACACAATGGGAAGCCAGGTGCTGGGATAGGCTGGGTCTGCTCTCCACCCTTGCATGCTGTAAGTAAAATAGAGGCCCATGTCTCACCCTGGTCTCTCCCATTCCTTCCAAACATCCTAGGAACCACACCTATCTTCCAAACAGAGAACCCGACCAGCCACGGCCTTCCCCTGCCAGCCAGAAACGCCTGGACAAGGTAAGCAAGGACTTTATTCCCTTTTTGGAGACCAGATCTTACTGTGTAGCCCTGGCAGGCCTGGAACTCCTTATGAAGAACAGGATGGCTTTAAATTCAGAGATCCACTTGTCCCTGCTTCCTGAGTGCTGAGACTAAAGGCACGCACCAACACGTCTAGAGAAGCAAGAGCTTTTCAAAGAGTAGTCTAAACAGCTGGGGATGTAGCTTGGTTGATGAAGTACTGGTGCAACATAAAATCTGGTGTATGTCTGTGAGAGAGGTCTCCAGAGACAGGAGGGATCAGTTCAAAGCCATGCTCTGCTACACAGCATGGTGAGTTTGAGGACAGCCTGGACTACCAACCTAAGGCCTGATCTCAAAAAATAAAAACAAACAAAAAAAACCCAATACAAACAAAACATTAAAGGCTTGGGAGATGATTTCTAAAGTACATTTACTGTTTTACTGTGCAAGCATAAGGATGGGACTGAGTCTGAATCCCCAGCACCTATGTAAAAGCTGGGCAATATGTCCTATTCCTGCACCTCCAGTACTGGGGGAATGGAGACAGGTAGATCCAAGAAAAATAGAGCTTTAGGCTTAGTGAGAGAATAAGGCAGAGAGTGACAGAGGACAACCTAGTCCTCCATGGGGTGCATACCAGCCATACACAAGAATACACATGGGGTGCATAGCAGCCATACACAAGAATACAAGAATATTTTTTTAATTGGGTAAAATTTAAACTTAGGATCTGATGAAATAGAACTTTTTAACAAACAAGAACCTCATAGGGTGCTGTTTATGTCACACGGACTTTTCTTTTTAACAGAAGCGTTCAGCGCCTATAACCACTGAAGAACCAGAAGAAAAGAGGCTCAGAGCTCTGCCTCTAGTCCCAAGTCCACTACAAGAGCTATCAAATCAAGAATCACAAGAGGGAGAAAACTGGGTGCCTGATGAAGATGAAGATGGAGATTCCAGGCTGGAGCAGAATCTCTCAGTTCAAGCAGGTAAGTTAGTGAGAGAAGGGTGAATACCAGTGGCAAAAAGGACCCTAATTACTTGTTTTCTTGCTTCCTTTCTAGCCTCTGAATCCCCAAGCCCAGAGGAGGTACCAGATTATCTCCTGTAAGTTCTCCACAATTCTAGCTTCATAAAGTTTGTATCTGTGAGCAGCCAAGGGCTTTTTAGGGGCAATGAAATTGGTGTCACCTCTCCTGTAGGCAATACAGAGCCATCCACAGTGCAGAGCAGCAACAGGCCTATGAGCAGGACTTTGAGACAGACTATGCTGAATACCGAATCCTGTATGCCCGTGTCGGGGCTGCCAGCCAAAGGTTCACAGAGCTGGGGGCGGAGATCAAGAGACTTCAGCGAGGAACTCCAGAACACAAGGTAGAGGCAGGATTCTAGTTTACTGCCATTATCTTCCTGCTAATTACCCACAAACATGTTTATTGACTAAGCAAAGGGACAACAAGCAAACCTGTTGTAATGTTTGGTAGAATGAAATAAGAAATTACTTCCATTTCTTACTTTTCCCTCTTTTCCCTTCCTTCCCAGCAACTTTGAAACAGAGTTGTTTTTGTTTCAGGTGCTAGAAGATAAAATAGTCCAGGAGTATAGAAAGTTCAGAAAGGTAAGACAGGCTGTGAGTCAGAAGCAGTAAGATGCAAGTCGCTTTACTTTTTGACATGAGTGTTTTTTCTCTGCAGCGGTATCCAAGTTACAGGGAAGAGAAGCATCGCTGTGAGTACCTGCATCAGAAACTATCCCACATTAAAGGTCTCATCCTGGAATTTGAGGAAAAGAACAGGGGCAGTTGAAACTATCCAGGACTCTCGAGCCTGTCCCCAGCGATGAACAAGACAGCTACCAGGTGGAGCTCATTTGCTTTTCTGATTCTGACCCTTCCGTCCAGGGGGCAAGTAGAGTCATGCTAGGTTCTTGCAGTTTGATTTTTGTTGTTGCCTTAAAATTTTGAGGGTGTGGGCACGGAGTCAGGTCTCCTCAGCTGTGCCCGGGAGACTAGGAAAGTAGCTGACGCTTGGCTTTTTCAACTTTACTTCAGCGAAGTCATTTTCAGATCCTGAAAAATGACATTTCCAGGTCAACACACACTGAGAATATAATATTAAGCAAGTGAGTTTAGTTGAGTGGCCTTGCAGGAACAAAATGAGAACTTGTGTTACAGCATACCTAGATGTAAGGGAAAGGGCTTGCTTGGCATTACTAATGTACTGTAGTAACACGACTGAAAAATGAAAACCAATTGCTTCTGTGTCTTGTGTGACCATTAACCTTAATCATCCAAGTGTATCTGACTTCCCTTAAGGCTCTTTAAAAGACTGAGTCCCCATGTTCCAGCCCAAGCGTTATAAACTGGAGCCTCCAAAATCATGGTCATCTTACTCTGCTCTTATCAGCTAGACACATGCTCTACCACTAAGCAACACCACCTTCTCCCACCCCCAACATGTTTTTTAAAACATTATGGATGAACCAGATGTGCATTTTATTATCAAGCTCTACCAAAAACATACTGAAAATAGAAGGGATTATATTAAGATGTTTCATTTTGTGTGTTTAGAGTCACACAGAATTAAGGCTATATATCTAGAATTATCCAGGACTGAAAGCTACAATTATGGACAAGAGTCTGATTTAGCTATAAAAAGGGCCACATTTTAATTCATTAAAAAAACAAGAACAAAAAAACCCAACAGATCCTCTTGCCAGTGATGATGTTTACCTGTTTCACTGGAAGGAAGTTAATGGCTACATCCAAAGATCTGGGGAGACCTGCACGGAGCAGTATCAACAATTTCTCAAACAAATTAGATAGAACTCCAAACTAATGTCACAGTTGCATAGGATATTTCTGGGCAGGACAATCCTCAGGAGGTATGAACATGCAGAAAGCTTGGCTTTTTGACAAAGATAAGCAGTATCCATCTTTAGGACATGAACAAGGCCAGAACAACTGTAATCGCAGTACCTGGGGGCTGACTAGGAAAGACTGTCACAAGTTCAAGGCCAGCCTGAGCTTCAGAAGGAGTCTGAGAAATTGAAAGATTTAAGAGATGGTAACTGGAGCTGGGTGTTGGTGGTGCATACCTTCAATCCCAGCACTTGGGAGGCAGATCTCTGTGAACTCGAGACCAGCCTGGTCTACAAGAGCTAGTACCAGGACAGCCTCCGAAGCCACAGAGAAACCCTGTCTAGCAAAAGGGAGAAAAAAAAAAAGAGATGGTAACTGGACCAAGTCAGTTTGAGGCTACAGGGATCAGTGTAGGGTATTAAGAGGCCTTAAAATTGTTTTTAAAGATCTCATCTAGCTCAAGATGCTAGCCTCAAACTTGCTACATAGCCAAGGATGAACTTGAACTGGTTTTCTTGCCTCTACCTCCCACTTATTGGGACTACAGGTGTGTGTCGATATGCCTGTCTTAGCAACAGCACGGATCAACATATCAAGCATTTCTCTCACCAAAGAAAGCTCTATAGTAACAGTTTAGAGACCCCGATTCTCCATTCCATGAGGGAAAAAAAACCCGACAGTATAAAGGGGGCACATTTATTGTCACTGTTCCAAATGTACAAAAAAAATTAGAAAATAACCCCCAACTCAATTCCCCCCACCCCCACAACATTCTTCCCAACACAAATAATTTTTTTTCCCAAACCACAAACATAAACTGGTCCTGGTATTTTCATAAACAGTGTAGCTAAGAAACAGTTTAGAGAAAATTTAACAGGATTCAGAGTATATTCATTCTGTCCTCTGATGGTTTGCCATCTCTGGTTTAAGAGTCTTTTTACAAAGTGGCGCATTTGGCTGTTGCTTTAGAGGTCCTCTTGTGCCTTCTTCTTCTTCTTGGGTTTTTCTTCTTGAATTATAGGGGGGTTTGTAGCTTCTCGTTGTAGATAGCTAATAAAATCATTTAATTCACGGCCACCCTGAAAAAAAAAAAGGTTATTTAAACTTTTTACAAGAACTCTAGTTAAGGGCCAGTCAAATGGCTTATTAGAATTTGATCCCTAGACCCCAAATGACAGGAGGAGAGAACTAACTCCCCAAAGCTGTCCTCTTTCGCACACATTCCTACTGCCACACAAACAAAATGTAAGTAAATAGGCCAATGAAAGAACTAGGTATGGGGCTGGATATGGCTGCTTTTCCAGAAGACCCAGGTTCAGCTGCCACCACCTACATGGCAGCTCACAACTGTCTGCAATGCCAACTCCAGGACACCTGTCACCCTCAGAGGCAAAACACCAATGCAAATAAAAATACTTTTTTAAAAAAGGTTGTATGTTCTGGGGAAATGTGACAATGCACTTACTTCATACTTCTTTGGATTTAGCTTCTTGTTGGCTGGTGAGAAGTAGATGGTAGGAAAACTAGAAAAAAGAAAAAAAAAGTTCACCGATTTCAGGTCTCAGAGCAATCCTAATATATACCTGCCTGAGTGTTCCAAGAACTGCTTTTTTGGTTTTTCGAAACAGGGCTTCTCTGTAGGTTTTGAGCCTGTCCTGGAACTCTCTTTGAAGACCAGGCTGGTCTCAAACTCACAGCAATCCACCTGCCTCTGCCTCCCGAGTGCTGGGATTAAAGGCGTGTGCCACCACTGCCCAGCAAGAACCCTTTTTCTTTGTGGTTTTTAATTTGATCAGATGTTATTTTCCTAAGTGCCTAAATTAAGCTCTATATTTTTCTCTAACTTATGAGAAATCACAGGAATTTTGGGAGTCATATTGGGGCCACCCACTGCAGAAATCTAAGAAATGCATCTCCCTCAAACTACCAGCAAGAAAATGGTTTTGGTTGCTATTCAGGTGGCTGAAAGTTGGTTAGTCTGGGTTCACATGAGGCCAGCCTAGGCAACAAAATTCCATTTCTAAACAAAAGCACCTTCCATCAACTTACCCTTTGACTTCATATGGAGAAGGCACATCATTGGCTGTGGCATCCATCTTGGCTATAACAATATTTGGGTCTTTGCTGAGCTGTTAATAAAAAGGTCACACATTAAAAAAAGTCAACAACAAAGAACTTAATCTCAGTCCTGAAAAAGCTGATGCAGGGGTATTGCCATAAATTCCAGTATGGGCTGAGCCAAAGTATGAACCCTACCTCAAATGCCCATGTACATTCCTTCACACTCCCTTGGAGACAGAAACGGGACTGTTGCAAGTTCCAGGCTAGCCAGTTATACATCATTCAAAATACTTGCCATCAGTACAGGCCTAGTGGCCCATGCCTTTAACCCTAGCACTTGGGAAGTAAAAGCCGATAAATTTCAGAGTCTGAAGCAAGCCTGGTAAAGCTTTCAGTAACAGGTACTTACTGGTTTACAACTTAGACAATTCTAGTATTTTACCTGTGTTTTATTAAAGGCTTTGCTTAAGTGAGAAGAACATAGACTTAGTTCCTAACCTCCAGCTTCTCTGTTTTTATTGGTTCTTTGTTTATTTTTATTTTTGGTTTTCTTTTGGTTTTTCAAAACAGGGATTCTAGCTGGACGATGGTGGCACACGCCTTTAATCCCAGCACTTGGGAGGCAGAGGCAGGCGGATCTCTGAGTTCGAGACCAGTCTGGTATACAAAAGCTAGTTCCAGGACAGCTTCCAAAACCACAGAGAAACCCTGTCTTGAAAAACCAAAAAACACAAAAACCACCAAAACAGGGTTTCTCTGTGTAGCTTTGGAGCCTGTCCTGGAACTTGTTCTGTAGTTCAGGCTGGCCTTAAACTCACAAAAATTGGAATTAAAGGCGCGCACCATCAACGCCCAGGTTTATTGGTTCTTATAAGGTCAGTCCTAGTCCTTCCATGTGGGAGGCTGAGCACATGCTCAGGCTGCTTCTGGACTATACAGTAAGACCCTGTTTCAAAACAAAACACCAACACTGTAGTCTTTAAATTACCTGGCTCGTATTACATTACAAAGGAAAAACACCAAGTGTTTTTTTTTTTAAATGAAGGACTATATGAATTTAGAAGACACCACCATAATACAGAAGATCCCAGACATTTGTACCCATGATGCAGAATGAGCCTGATTTGTGTTAAGTTGGCTATCTGTGAAGTTCTCTATTGGCTAGGGCAGTCAAGAGCAAACGTGTTAACAATAGCTGGGAAAAAAAACAGGAACCAATGAAATCTATGGTTAAACATATATAAATTTCTAAGCTCCATTTTATATTCAGAAGAGGTCAAGACTTACTTTCTCTCCCAGTTCTTTATATTTGGGTTCCAGATTCTTACAGTGACCACACCAAGGGGCATAAAATTCAATCAGCACATCCTTATCTTCATTATTCACTATGTCATCAAAATTTTCTGCTACCACAACCTAGAAAACACAGAAGATTCTCTTGTCATAAGAAAACTGAAAATAAACCCACAAGCTCACTCACCCCAACTTGTATTATATTTATACACCCATAAACATTGTGTTATTCCCCATTAACCAACTCACCCTCACATCTATCCCCTATCAAACTATGTTTAGGAAGCCATAGGAAATTTGGTTTTCTTTCTTTTTTGTTTTGTTTTGTTTTTTGAGACAGGGTTTCTCTGTGGCTTTGGAGGCTGTCCTGGAACTCGCTTGGTAGTCCAGGCTGGTCTCGAACTCAAAGAGATCCGCCTGCCTCTGCCTCCCGAGTGCTGGGATTAAAGGCGTGCGCCACCAACGCCCGGCTGGTTTTCTTTCTTTTAAAAAACTTTACTCTTAGGGCTAGAGAGATGGCTCAGTGGTTGAGAGCATTGACTGCTCTTTCAAAGGACCAGGGTTCAATTTCCAATACCCAATGGCAGCTCACAACTGTTTGTAAGATCTGATACCCTCACACATATACATATGCAGGCAAAACATCAATGTACATAAAAAAAAATAAACTACAAAAAACTTTACTCAGCCTCCAAAACAATACAGAGAAACCCTCGAACCCCCCCCCCCCAAAAAAAAAGATTTAGGAAGAGACCACTGCAGATAGGTGGTGCAACACAAACCTTGACAGGCCCATCGTTGGTCTCTGGGATAGGTTCAGACTTCAGGTATCTCTTCAGGTTGCCATCAAAGTAATCCTGCAGGAACCGCTCTAGAGCCTTGCCATCCCGCCTACAAATGCAAAGACAGACTCTCACTGGAATTCACGACCCCTTTTCTCCTGCTTCCACCTTCCAAGTGCATGCTGGAATTACAAGAGCATACCACCATGCCCAGGCTCCACCTACTACTTCTAATGAATAGAATTATGTAAGAATTGCAAGCTGCCACCCTTTGTCTACAGAAATCACAATCTTTAAAGTACCTAAGCTGGGCTGGAGAGATGGCTCAGAGGTTAAGAGCACTGACTGCTCTTCCAGGGGTCCTGAGTTCAATTCCCAGCAACCACATGGTGGCTCACAACCATCTACAATTCAATCTGGTGCTCTCTTCTGGCATGTAGGCAGAACACTGTATGTAATAAATAAATGAATCTTAAAAAAAAAAAGTTATAAAGTACCTAAGCTGAGAAAAATGATAATCACAGATCTTGCTTGGAGATGTCTCCCTACCCCAATGTCACTCTAAGTTTTCAGTGTCTAGGTTTTAATGATTTTTGAGCCAAATTCTAAATCAATGCCAATAACTTACGAGAACTCCTCCTGCATGACAAACTTCTCTCCTTTAGCAGTTCTGATAGCCACAACAGGAACCTCTCCAGTAGTGCTTTCTAAGCCAAAGTCAGACAGCTCATGACTAAAGGTTTTACGGCTAGCTACAGCAAAGTTGAGTTTGTGTCCCGCATCCAGGAATTTCTTTGCCACCATCATCACTCTGTGAGGAACAAATAAGAGAAATATAACAGACGAACCATCTTTAAAAAAACAAACAAACAAAAAACTAAGAGAGAGGGTCTCTATGTAGTCCTTGCTGTCCTGGAGCATGTAGAACAGGTTGGCCTAAAACGCACACAGTGTTAGGATTAAAGGCATGCATCACCTTGCCAGGCTAAGCCTTTGAAACCAAAAAGCAAAGAGATCCATTCAGCCTTCTGGAATTGCATGAATTTATAATACCAGGCACTGATTATGTTAAAATTTTGGGGCTTAGTGACCTTAACTCTTAAGTGGTGGTGGAACCTAATGCATTTGATAGGAATTTTCCTATACTGTTAACTATAAAATCAATTGCATGCATAAAAGCTGACCTGAAGAACATTTACAAGGTTAAAAACCACCCACAGAATTCATAAAGAAGTGGGTACAATGTTGTAAGTGTACTCTACATCAGACTTACACCTTTCACAGTCTGGAGCCAATGTAATACAGCAAAGAACATAGAATTCACGTCCAAAAGATTCTCTAAATAGTGTTAGTTGCCCTTATGGCAACTTTTAAGGCAGAATTGTAGGCTGTCCAGACTAACCAAAATTCAGTATGTAGCATGGATTTTAAATTCTGATTGTCCTAAATGCTTAGAGATAGTCCTGTGTCACCCAGTTTTAGGTGGGCACGTGTACACATGCATGCATATGTGCTGAGAACCAAGCCCAGGGCTTCGTGCACGCTAGGCAACTACTGCACCAACTAAGCCACGTCACACTTACATTTTCCTCTAATCTTACATCCTAGGCCAACAAGATAGCTAGAACCGTTCATAGAATAGGTAAACATGTCTACACAAAGGAAAAGCATGGTTTTTATTACCTGTTTCTCCAATAGTTGGAGCCTTTAGCATTCTTTTCATAGTCCACATCATAGTAGGCTGTAAGTAAATCCTTGCCCTGTATCAAATCTTTATTGTCTTCTGTCATATGAGGACAGATACCAAAACTGAAATGAAATAATCCATTAGTTTTGTCATTTTCTAGCTATACTATGGAATTATCAAAGTGATAGGAACAGGAAAGGGGTACTTACATGCTTTCCTGGATAAACCTTTTAATCTTGCCACTGGTCATTTTCTGTTCAGTATATGCCACAGTTTTGTCTTCAAACTTGTTAGCAAGATGTGAAGGACGAAATAAAGTGATCCCCCTTTAAAAAAAAGTGTTTTAACATCAGCTTTCATTTAAAACTTAAGACACTTTAATTCCAGCAATCAGGAAGCAGAGGTAGGTGGATCTCCATGAGTTTGGGGCCAGTCTGGTCTACAAATCAGCGAAGAGAACATGCATCAAAAAAGAAAAAACTGAGACAAGATGGACACTGTGATATACCTGTAACCTTTGCATTTGGAAGGTAGAGCAACAGGGTAACTATAAAGAGATTCTGTTTAAAACATTCTGACACAGCTCATTGGTAGAGTACTTGCCTACACCTTGGGTTCAATTCTTGGTACCATAACAGAAATAAAACAAACAAAAAGTTCAACTATCTTTTTAATAAATAAACAAATGTATGGGCTGGAGAGATGGCTCTGGTTGCAATTCTTGAAGACCTGGGTTCCACCCAAATAGCAACTAACAACAGTCTAACCCCGGTTCCAGGGGACTCTTGAGTTCTGAGGGCCCTACATGCACACGATGCACAGACATATGTGCAGACAAAACACTACACATAAAAATAAATTTAAAAATGCTGGGCAGTGGTTGTGCACACCTTTAATCCCAGCACTTGGATCTCTGTTGAGTTCAGGGCCATCCTGGTCTACAGACTGAGTTCCAGGACAATCAGGACTGCACAGAGAAATCCTGTCTCGAAAAACAAAACCAAAATTTGTCTCGGTTTTTGCAGACAGGCCCTCACTGTTGCATTTGCTGGTCTCTACACACTATGTAGACCAGTTGCCCTTGTCAGCCTCCCAAGTATAAATAAATCTTTTTGTTTTGGTCTCTTTGAGACAGGGTTTTTCTATGTAGAACTTGCTCCTGCCTCTGCCTCCCTAAAGGCTTGTGCCACCACCACAGGGCAATTAGAAAAAAAAAATTTTTAGTGGTATCTATGCACTACTTGCATGCCTAATGTATACAGTGGCTAGAAGAGGTCATTGGACATTATCACCTAGAACTAATCTGGAACTGGTTTGTTCCTGTTTTTGAGATTTGGAAGTTAGAGCCATGTATGGTTTTGGACCACTGTAACTCCAGTATCTGGGAGGTCAAGAGCACCAGTTCAAGATCAACAGGGGTTATGAGCTAAATCCCAAGTGTGCGTGCATGCGTGTTTCATAGCTATGCAGCATGACTATCTTAAAATAAAAATTAGATATATGGGGGCTGGAGACTTGGCTCCATAGTTAAGAGCACTTATTGTTCTTGCAAAAGACCCAGGTTCAATTCCCAGAACCCACTAGGCTTACCACTACCTTAGACATAAGATATGCATACACACAAAATAGGAGAAATTCGTTCCTTACTCTTAACTCCCTTTTGAACTGATTAAAAAAAAAACCAAACAACCAAACAAACAACAAAACAACCCAAAGCTTACAAGGATTAAATTGATACTTGGTCCAACATCTTTAAAAATCAATAGTGAAACTAAAATTAGAATCACGGAACTAAAATAGAATCAAACTAAAATTATTCTAGTCATTTATTAGAATAGATTACAGCACAAGATTTGCTACATTGCCAAATCTGTGATACCAGGAACATCCTCTGTACTTACAGTTGGCAGTAAACTTGACAATAAAAGTCAGTTAGAGTCTTTTCTATTTTGCTGTTGTTTTATGGTGCATGTCTTTAACCCCAGCACTCAAGCAGCAGAGGCAGGAAGATCTCTTGAATTTGAGGCCAGCCTGGTCTACAGAGAGAATTCCAGGACAGCCAGGGTTACACTGAGTAACCATGTCTCAAAAAAAACCAAATTAAAAACAAAACAGGTAGCTGGGCAGTGGTGGCGTACACTTTTAGTCCCAGCACTCGGAAGGCAGAGGCAGGTAGATCTCTGTGAGCTTGAGACCAGTCTGGTCTATAGCGCAAGTTCCAGGACAGCCTCCAAAGCCACAGAGAAACCCTGTCTCAAAAAACAAAACAAAGACAAACAAAAAACAGGTGTACACCAACTTGCTTAGGTTTTTTATGTGGATGCATGGTAAGCACTTTACTGATGAGCTCTCGAGCTCTTATCTAGAATAATTCTCAACCTAATTGCCATACTCTACCAGGAAAATTTCATCTACCAAGAATCACCTCCTCACTGGGCATGGCCCAGAGACAGTCTGATCTACACAGGAAGACATGTCCATGTGGGTTCCCACAGAAGCCAGAACATATGTTAGAATCCCTGAAATAGTTATAGCTAGTTACAAGCTGCTTGACATGGTGCTTGGAACTAAACTCTGGTCCTCTGCAAGAACAGTACTAGCTTTCAACCACTGAACCATCTCCCCAACCCATATAGTCTTTTCTTTCTTTGGATTTTCAAGACAGGGTTTCTCTGTGTAGCCTTGGCTGTCCTGGAACTTGCTCTGTAGACCAGGCTGTGGTGACCTAACAAATAAAGCTTACCCGAGGATCAACGCACAGTGTTATCCACATTAGCTAGCCACAGAGGCCAGGCAGTGGTGGGGCACACCTTTAATCTCAGTACTTGGAAGACAGGTAGACAGATCTCTGTGAGCACAAGGTCACCCTGGGCGACATAAAATTGAGTCTGTCTAAAAGACAAAGAGTTCACACAAAGGTGATCCCAGCACTTGGGAACTGCACACATCTTTAATCCCAGCACTAGGTAGGGAGGTGAAGACAGGAATGCTATATGCTATGGCTGGGCGGAGAGAGAGAGAGAGAGAGAGAGAGAGAGAGAGAGAGAGAGAGAGACAGACAGAGAGACAGAGAGAGAGACAGAGAGAGAGAGAGACAGACAGACAGACAGAGAGAGAGACAGAGAGACAGAGAGAGAGACAGAGAGAGAGAGAGACAGAGAGAGAGATGGATGCACAGTCTAGGCAGTCAGCCTGAGCACTCAGTAGAATTAAAAGGCTTCTCTAGTGGCTAGCTGCACTGTTTCTCTGGTCCTTCAGCTCTTACCCCAATTGCCGACTCTGACTTTTTATTATTAAGACCAATTAGAATTCGTTCCACACCAGGCTGGCCTGGAACTCAGAGATCCGCCTGCCTCTGCCTGTAGGAGTGCTGATTAAAGGCATGTGACATCATCACCTGGTTCTACAGCTTTTTCTAATGCCCCCCCTCGGAAAAAAACTACCCATTTTATTTCAATAGCAAATGTACAATATAACACATTTCTATGTATATTTGCTTATATACCGTCTCCTTCTATAGATGCCCTTCACAGGAAACAGTCTTCTGGACCAAGCTTACTTAATGCTTAAAAGGACTCATTAACATTTTTGGAAACAAAATATAAACTAAGTAATAACAAAAAAGGGCATACATCCTCACAGTAAGAGATGAGGGAATGCAATCAGTCACTTACTCTCCATTATCATCGTACTCCTTCACCAGAGACTCAACGTTCGTGTGTGCAAACCGATAGTTATCTCTCAAGTTGCTGGCTGCTTTTAGGAACTCGGAGTGACCATCACTGAATAAATCCCTGAAAAAGCCTGCATAGGAAATGTCAAAAACAAGGAATAATTAAGTGTTGAGACTTACATTATCCTTATAGTATTCAAAGTGCTCTGTCTGCTATGAATAAACATTTCAGGTTAAGACCAGGCTGCTTTGGACACCTGACATAACACGTACACTAAGACCTCTTCCTCTACCCAATAGAGAAAGGAAGGGAGAAGATTTGGAAAAACTGAAGTCTTCCTTGGATTTCTCCACAACAGATCTGAGCAAACTTCCTCACTGCTTAAGAGCCACCTGCTTTTGACTCCTGAGTGCTGGGATTAAAGATTTGTGCTACCATGTCACCTGGGGCCAAGGTTTTAATCTCAGTGGGTTACACATACACACCCACAAAATTTCTTTCAATTAGATGTGTTGGTAAGCCTGGCACCTCCCTCTCTTGTTGCATGCATTCCTTCCATGACATGCATCCAAGGAGACCTGTCCCAGAATTCAAAATTTTTTGTGCCATTGTCTTTTTTGAACATCTGCAACTATAAGACAAATCTCTTTCCTTTGTATGACCCTGCCTCAGGTGTTTATAGCAACAAAAACTTGACCAATAACCAAAGATACCTATAAAATTTGAAAACAGACACGGAAATTGACTATTGACTTGTATTCCTCCCTTGCCTTAAGCCTTGTTTGCAGTTTACCCTGGTAAAGACTTAACTCTTAGAGTTAAAGAAGGAACAGAGCTAGGGATGGATATATATATATATGTGTGTATACATACATATACATATACATATACATATACATATACATATATATATATATATATATATTTGTGTGTCAGTGGCAGGGCAGTTGGCTGGCAGGAGTGAGGAAGTCAGTTAAATTCCAGCACAGTGGGGCAGCAGTGGGAGGTAAGCCAACAGCACTCCTTTTTGGTCTTTTTACTGAATTTAAACCTTTACACCTCTAAGAATACAAACCCACACAAGACACCATTCTCTTGCCCTGTTTACAGTTTCTAACCCAGTTCTATCAGTTATGTTTTAACTGCTTCAAGCTTACATTAAGCTGCTTTAATTTTGGTTTTCCCAAATATGGAAGTTTTAAAAAATCCAATCAATTTTGTGGCATAACAAAACATGTGTTACTTACCCACCACAGAAGCATCTTTATCACTAATGAACTTCTTAAATTCTTCCTCAGACCTGAGAGGAACTGAAGCTGGTCCTGCTTGCTTCTTCAAGTGGCTGACAATCCCATCTTAGAAGACAAAAATTACATTGACATATAATTTTTGAGAAGGTAAGGGATTGAAATAATACAAAATTCAAAAGAATTTTGAGACAGGGTTTCTCTGTGGCTTTGGAGGCTGTCCTAGAACTAGCTCTTGTAGACCAGGCTGGTTTCAAACTCACAGATATCCACCTGCCTCTGCCTCTTGAGTGCTGGGATTAAAGGCATACGCCACCAACGCTTGGCTAATTGGTATATACTTACACACACACACACACAGAGGGAGGGGAAATTACATTCTTTTATCTTCAAATGGCAATATATACTTCAACATACACTTGTTTTGGGAGGGGGCAAGCAGGGGGTGTTGTAAACTCACTGATGTCTGCCTGCCTCTTCCTCCCATAAAACCACAGCTGGGTCTTTTCTAAAGACAGGCCTCTTGGCCTAGGATATGTAGCAGAGACTTGCTTTGGCCTCCTGCCTCCTCCTCCTCCCAATCCTTCCAAGGACTAGGATTACAAGATGTACCACTATGCCCAACTCAAGTAGTTTTGGTTATTTTACACAGTATACAGAAATAATTCATGCTGAACTCATAATGAGCTGTGCTACCTCTACCCCGCCCCTTTTAAAAAGCGATCTTTACATTTAAATTGTATGAGATATGATGGAAGTCAGAGGGAAGCTTGCAGGATCTGGTTCTTTCCTTCTACCATGTGGGCTCTGAAAATTGTTATGGCTGGCAATAGGTGCATACTGAGCCATCCTAACAGCCTTCAATAGGTTGTTATAATTTTTTAAAAATGTATACAATGTTCTGCCTACATGTCTGCCTGAATTCCAGAAGAGGAAACAAGATCTCACTACAGATGGTTGTGAGCTACCATATGGTTGCTGGGACTTGAACTCAGAGACCTTTGGAAGAGCAGCTGGGTGCTCTTAACCGCTGAGCCATCCATCTTTCCAGCCAACTGCAGACATTTATTTCTAATTTTTTGCTTTTTCAAAAGATTCTTTGATAAACAACGTGTCAACAGATGAATTTGCACAATAATCTGTAGGGTACATTTCTAGAAAGCCTCAAAGAGTACAGCAGTTTGTATGTGTTAAGCTGATTTCCTAATAGATTTCCTTTTTTTCCCCCCTGCTTTTCCAGATAGGGTTTCTCTGTGCATCCAACTCCCTCTGTAGACCAGGCTGGCTTTGAGCTCACAGAGATTCACTTGCCTCTGATGCCCAAGCCCTGGCATTAAAGGCATGAGCCACAAACACCTAGCTTATCTATTTTTTAAAAAAATCTTTCTTAAATAACATCTATTCTATAAATACATTAATTTCCCATTCATATAGTAGCTCAGTGGTACAGTGCTTGTCAAGCTCTAAACAAAACCAACCTCACCCATATGCGGATTTTCAGGTTGTATGGTTTCTTTTTAAAAAAAATAGCAGTAGCCATTATAATGAGCACAAGATAGTTTTCTTTGCTATGCTGGGGACTGAACCCAATACTCTACACATTATTAATCAAATACGCTACCACTATCTATATATAGCCCACACCTGTGATGACCACCTTTCATCTCCATCAACTAGAACACAAACACTAGAAAAGGATCAGTGTTTTGTTTATGAATACCATCACATACTATTTCAAGAGAATCCAAGGCAGGAAGATGGCACAAGCCTATAATGCCATTACGTGTAAAGCTAAAGCAGAAGGACTAGAAATTTAAACCTAAACCATGTGTAAGTGGTATACACCTTTAATTCCAGTACCTGGGAGGTAAATTCAAGGCTATCTTGGTCTACACAGTGAGTTCCAGGACAGCCAGAGGTACAGTGTAACCCTGTCTTGAAAATACACAAAGAAAGAAAGAAATGTACGCCTCGCCTAGGTTCCATGCAATTCAGATCCTTACCGGCAGTCCTAGGCCCATCATAAGCACCGGCTTCTTCACCATCTCTAAATATTTTAAGGGTTGGGTAGCCACTGACTCCGTACTTATTACAGGTGTTTGTGTTGGCAGTGCAATCCACCTAAGAGTAGATAGAACAAGAGTTACTTCGTTATCTAAGTACTTGCAAAATATAATGACTAGTTAAACCCATAGAGGATCAACACTTCTTGTCATACTTACCACACAGGTCATTAGACCTTAAAGGTGAATTAGTGCTATCTAACTAGATCAGAACTGTCTAAGAGATGCTTTAGAATTCAAATTCCTTGGCTTCATATAAAAATTCCAACATTAATGACTTAAATTATTTTGCCAGGCAGTAGTGGTGCACACCTTTAATCCCAGCACTCAGGAGGTGGAGGCAGGCAGATCTTTGTGAGTTCAAAGTCAGTCTGGTCTACAGAGCAAGTTCCAGGACAGCCAGGGCAACACAGAGAAACCCTGCCTCAAAAAACAAAACTACTAATCTGGTTAGTAGAGACATGGCCTTTAAACTGGAACACCTGTGAGCTTATTCAGACTACTACAGAATGACAAACTTTATTAACCATTACTACTTTTGCCTGTTGGAGACAAGGTCTCAGGTAGCTCAGGCTAGTCTTAAATTTCTAACCCTGTCTTTACCTCCCAAATGCTGGGATCATGGGTCACCACCACAGCTAGCTCTTAAAATTCTATGAAACAAATGCCAACCTTAATTAACCAATCACTTGGCTACATACTCAGCAATATCCCATGTCTTTTTTTCCCTGATCCCATCACTATCATCAAAGTAAATTAGAACTCAATATTCTCTCTCATCCTTACAGTCTTTGTCTGCCCTTAGTTCTTATTTACCATGTTCTTCTTAAAATTCTTCTTTTATTGACTCTGTGGATTTCGAATTGTGTATTCCGATCCCACACATCTCCTTGTCCCCTTACACCCATCCTCTGTCCTTGCAACCATCCCCCCACCCCACACAAAATTTAAAAGAGAAACCAAAAGCCAAATATAACAAACAAAAGAATCTGGTGGTGTGAGTGTGAGTGAGCTGGATCTGAGGACCCAAAAGCATAAGTTGCCCTGCCCTTCACTGAGGCAGAGCTGGAGAGCTTGCCCAGGTATTGACAAAAGAAAGCTGGTGGGCTGATCAAACCCAGTTACTGACCAGGCCCAGAACCAAGGCTTTGAGTCGGCCCACCCCAACACCCATCATATCTATGAACTCTTGGAGCATATGAAGGGCACAAATCCACAGATCCAAAACAGCAGCATCTCCACAACACAGAACAACAGGATAGCCAAGAGGAGGCCCCTGAGAGCCCACTATCAGTGGTATAGCAGAAGTCAGAGGCCTTGAGCCAGACCAATGACTCATGTTAATGAATACTTTCAAGTAAAGATGAATGAACTAAAGGGTAAACCGTGTGACTCAATGGGCCACATTACAGCTTCCATGACAAGATTTCCCACCCCCTCTTAAATGTTTTGTTTTGTGTATGAGTGTTTTATCTGCACTCATATGTGCCAGGTTTGAAGGCCAGAAGAGGGCATCATTATTCCTGGGACTGGAGTAACACATGGTTGTAAGCCACTGAGTACTGGGAAATAAATGAATCCACATCCTCTGTAAGAGAGTCCAAGTGCTCTTAACCAGTCAGCCATATCTGCAGCCACCCAAAATGCTAGCTTTATACACTTGGGCCAGTGAAAAAATGGCTCAGCATGTAAAGGGGCTTGTTGTCAAGCCCAAAGGACTCACAAGGGTACATGCATACATGTCCACACATACATGTAATGAAAAATATTTTCATTTTCCTTTTTGGTGAATCCACTGATGCTCACCTTTGCTAATGGGACTATTCCTTTTAATCTAGTTGCTGCAGCTTCATACTCAGGGGCAAGCCTCTTGCAATGTCCACACCTATTTAAAAAAAAAAAAGTCAGATTCTTAGTTTAACACAAACTTACTGATGTTTCTACCTAGGAAGAATCTCAAATCATACTACTGTGCTGTTTTTGAAGACAGGGTCTTGTTACACAATTCCCAGGCTGTGACCTTCCTTCAGCCTCTTACACTGACTGTAGGCATGCTATACCAATTATTCAACACCAAGCTATATCCCAGACCTCTGATACTTTGAATAATGAGTAGTATGCTCCTTCCCCTGAATTCTCACAAGTGTGCTTCTCCAGGTGGAGTAGGGTGGTGCTTCAGGTGACCAAAGTACCTTTCTCTGTGGCTTCCTTTAGTCACCTCAGTCTTGGGAGTGCTTATATGCTCAATCACACGTTAATTTTCTTACAAGAATTGCTTGTTTACAACAATGCCAACAGCATGCTGTGACATTTATAGGGTATTCCTTTTTGAACAACACCCATTTAGTTTAGTCTACAATATCACCCTTCTTGCAGATTTGCATCTATGTGGCCAAAGTACAGCTCTATGTTTCTTTTCTTTTTTGCTTTGTTTGAGAAAAGGTTTCTCTATCTATGCAGACCAATCTGGCCTCAGACTCAGAGATCTGTCTGCCTCTGTCTCCCAGGTTCTGGGACATTATTAAAACAAAAGCAACAAAAAAGGGGTGCACATGGTAATTATTTTACCATATTAAAATAATTGGAACCTGTGTTTTGCTAACAACTCAGATACATTCGTTTATTATGCAACATTTAACAAATGCACAGAATGGGACCAGTGAGTTGACTAGCAGTTAAAGTTACTGGCCACTGACCCTGATGAATTGAGTTCTATCTCTGGGACTTAGACGGCAGAGGAAAGACCGACTCCTATAAAGTGTCCTCTGACCTCCACCAATGCACTGTGGCATATACAAACCCACATCTGCCATGTATACAAAATAAAGAAAATGCAACAAAATATTAAAAAAAGAATATATAACACCATATTTGTAATGCATCTATGATATCACTATTATGTGAAGAACCATTACTGTACATCTCATTAAGAAATAAATAGCCAGGCAGTGGCCATGCACTCCTTTAATCCCAGCACTAAGGAGGCAGAGGCAGGTGGATCTCTGTGAGTCTGAGAGAAGCCTGGTCTACAGAGTGAGTTCCAGGACAGCCTCCATAGCCACAGAGAAACCTTGTCTCGAAAAACCAAAATAAAATAAAATAAGAATAAAAGAATAAATATATCTCATTAAGAAAAATGCATTAGCTGGGTGGTGGCGGTGCACACCTTTAACCCCAGCAAGTGGGAGGCAGTGGCAGATCTCTGAGTTCAGACCAGCCGGTCTACAGAGCTCAGCAGGACAGCCAAGGCTGTTAATAGAGAAATCCTGCCTTAACAAACAGCCAGATTTTTTGTTTTTAATTTTTGTGTGCATGTTTATGAGTATGCCACAGGTGTGAAGGTGCCCATGGAAGTTAGACGAGGGCATCAGATTCTTTGGAAGTGGAGTTACAGGCAACTAACTGTAAGGCCCCAGAAACAGATGCTGGAAGTGGAATCTAGGTTCTTTGCAAAAGCAGTATTCACTCTTAATCACTGAGCTATCTCTTCAGCCTGTTTTTGAGACAGTCTCTTAACATTCTTTCTCTAAACATACTTTTCAGAAGCAAAGTATCTTGTAGCCAAAGATCATCTCAAACATGTGATTCACCACCATTTCCAAATTCTGGGGATTATAGACATGCACTACCTTGTCTGGTTTCTTTCCTTCTGTTTTCTATTTTTGCTGTCTGTAGGGAGATTACAGAACTCTTCAACTTTCTCAAAGTGATCCCTCTGCAACCCACTGTGCTTCTGAAGAGATAATGTGCAGCTGGTGCTAGCTGTGCACTGACAGAAACACACCATGCCTAAATGCCCAGGAAGCACTCCTGCGGGACTGTTAGGACTTGCTGGATAGAAGCAGGTGCTTCAGCAGGCAGCCCTCTGGGAAAAGTATACCAGTTTATGTTTCCACCAGTTCTCATGGTCAAGTGAACCACCAACTGTAAAATCAGGCCTGCTACCACCTTAAAAGTATTTTCTACTGTGCTGAAGCTTGGATGGGATGATTTTTGTTTTCTAGGACATTTTTTTTTAAAGTTTTTCAACGACAAAGTTTCTCCATGTAGCCTGACTGTCTAGAACTTGCTCTGTAGCCCAGGCTAGCCTCAAACTCAGAGACCTACCTGCCTCTCTGACTCCCAAATGCTGGGATTAAAGGTATGCATTACCACCTCCTGGCCCTAATTTTTTTAAAAGACAAGGGTTTCATTCTATAGCTCTAGGTTATCCTGAAATTATACAGCCCAAAGTAGCCTCAAACAGGCCATGATACTCCTCCTTCAGGGTAGTGTTCCTAAATACTAAACTTAGCACTTCGTTCTGTGCAGCCCTCCAGCTGGTTCTGCTCAGTTACATTGAAAGAAGAGGGAAAAGATATTTGATACTGATTCATGGTGCCTGTCTGTCTCAAGACATGATCTTACTAGGTAACCCTGGCTGGCCTGTATATGCAGACCTGGCTGCCCTAGAACTTACAGCAATCTTTCTGCCTCTCTCTCAAGTGTTGGGATTACATGCATGTATTACTACATCCAAGGGTTTAAAAGAATGAATTTGAAAGGATATGATCTGGGTTTGGGCCTTTAAGTATTTAGGCTTCAGAGAGGAAAGAGTAGGGCACTCGAGCAAGGTGGATAGCAGAGGTAATGTACAAGAAGTCTGTGTATTGTGACTACAGTTAGCAAATCTATAGCACAGGAAACAAAGGCAAAAGTCATCTACTAAAGATTGGCAGAGCAGCAGCAGAAGAGGAAAGTTCATGTCCTCTTCTCTTTGGGGCAGATCTTTTTATGTAGCCCAGGCAGTTTCAAACTGACAATGCTCATGCCTTAGCTTCTGAAAAACAAACTAACAGACATATAATATCATGCCTGCCTCTTGCTGTTGACCTTCTATTGTAGCAACTGTTAAAGGTCAACTTTACAAATATGTAAACATATCCAGAGGACAGGTGTGGTGATGGCAGGTGGATCTGAATCTGAAGCCAGCCCGATCTACATCATGAGATCCTGCCTCCAAAAAGAAAGAAAGAGCAATAAAATAAAAAAAGTATGTATGGTCCAATGCTGAGAATCTCCAAGAAGCCCAGCACAAAGGCACATGTCTGTAATTCCAGCACTTTTGAAACTGAGGCAGGAAAACTACTGAGCTCAAGGCCATCAGTTATACAGCCAGTTAAAAACCAAACGAAGCTTATAAACTCTATGCCCTACCTGCAGTAGGGAAAGGGAGGCAGAGGGAGAGCAGATGGAGGTAGAGGGAGAGAGAGAAGGGTGAGGAAAGAATCCCAGTACTGGGGCGGGGGCAGCAGTGGCAGTGACATAGGTCAGCAGGTAACAGCATCTACTAACGTGCCTCACATGCCTGACAACTAGAGATCCCCAGAATCCATGTAAAGGTGGAAGGAGAGAACAAACACCAATCTGTCCTTGACCGTACAATAGTAGGCTGTTTTAAGAGAGAGAGCTGGAGTGATGACTCATCAGTGAAGAGCACTTGCTATGCTTGCAGAGGATCTGAGTTCGGTTCCCAGCACCCACATAGTGGCTCACAACCATGTGCAACCCCAGCTCCAGTTTATTTGATATCCTACATTCATACATAACTGTTCGGGAAGGACTGGGAGGTGTGTCACACGAGGTGGGGGGGGGATCTAGCTTTGAAGTTTCAAAAACTCTCATCATTCCCATTTAGGGCTCACTGTTTCAAGGTTGTTGTCTCAACCAGGGAGCAAAGCTCTCAGCTGGAGCTCCTGCTATGATGGGCATGGACTCTAATCCTCTGAAACTGTAAACCCTGAATAAAACCTTTAACAAATTGCCTTTGTCACAGCAATGGGAAGAAATCAGTGTGCTACAGGCTGACACGGAAAACAACTGCTTGAAACAGCAGCACCATCCACAAGGTAAACAAATGCACAAAGTGGACTCTTTCTAGGATGGAAAAGATCACCTTTCCCAGGCAACCAACCAGAGATAGAAACCCAGTGTACTTTAAGGGAAATCAGGCTCTGTTACAGAACTAACTCCTTTACCTGCCTCTGCCAGTACTAAAACAGAATTCACCCACTCTCAGAGATGCTTCTTAGCAGCAGTTAACTCCAACATACATTTACTCAGTAATCACTTCATGCTGCATTGTGTTAGGTGCAATCATTCTATTTATCCGTTTATTTATTTTTAGCTTTTCGGAACAGGGTTTCTCTGTGTAGCCCTGGCTGTCCTGTAGACCAAGCTGGCCTTGAACTCACAAAGATTGGCCTGTCTCTGCCTCCTGAGTGTTGGGATTAAAGGCACCACCACTGATTTGTAATTATTTTAGCCTTCAATAAAAAACTAACAGTTCTTTCCTTATAGGAAGGAGTCCAAATCTGGAGAAGAATTAATGAGTTAATTGTTCAGGAGGGAAAAAAGTTGTAATGAAATTTCAGTGCTGAAAAGATGACCTGGGCTGGGTGGTGATGGTGCATGCATTTAGTCCCAGCATTTAGGAGGCAGAGGTAGGCAGATCTCTGTTGAGTTTGAGGTCAGTCTGGTCTCCAGGACAGCCAGGACTGTTACAAACAAAAAAGATGACTTGGGGACAAGAAAGGAGATCCAAACAAAGGAATAGGTAAGAATGCACATAAAACAAAACCAACCAAAAATGAACATTAGGCTGGTTGTGATGGAGAACACCTTTAATGCCAGCACTCAGTGGCAGAGAAAGATGAACTCTTGTGAGTTCAAGGCCAGTCAGGGCTACACAGACCTTCCCCAAACAAATTAAAAATGAACATTAGACATTTTAGAGGTTGGGGACATAGCTTTCTGGATAAAGTGCTTATACTGTAGTCACTAAGGGCTAGAGTTTGGATCCCCAGCATCCAGTAAACCCTAGGTGACAATGGTCACCCACCTGTAATTCCAGCCCCAAGAAGGAATTACTAGCCTTATGAGCAAGACTGAGGTTCAACCGAGATTTAATGAACTAGGTGGAGAACCATCAACCTCAACCCCCAAAGTGTGTACACATACTTGCATGTGAACACAAATATCTGCAAACACAAATTTCCATTTTATATCTGCTTGTATTTCTCTACACACTTAGAAACACTGTATAGCAAGTATTATTTATTGCTCTTGTTGTAGAGGATAACATAGTACTGAGTGCCAAGCACAGGTGAAAGCCATGGGTTTGATCCTCAGCACCAGTAGATAAATGTTCAGAGAATACCACAGAAATCTACAACACAAGTAGATGTTTAAGACTTAAAACACCGAAACACTGTCATTTCTCACAGAGAAATTCAAATACTTATATTCCTACAAATGCACAGGTTAGCCAAACAAAGTAACTCCCACCTGTAATCCAAGTATCCAGGAGGTAGAGATAGGACAGCCTCCACTACATGAAGTACTGTTTCAAATAAAACATATCTAATAAGCTGGGCGTTGGTGGCACACACCTTTAGTCCCAGCACTCTGGATGCAGAGTCAGGAGGATCTCTGTGAGTTCGAGGCCAGCATGGTCTTCAAGAGCAAGTTCCAGGACAGCCTCCAAAGCAATAGAGAAACCCTGTCTTGAAAAACCAAACCAAACCAAACAAACCAAAACCATATCTAATAATGGAAACAGTGGCCTGCAAAGAAGTCTTTCACTTTCACTTACAAAATTAATAGAGCAGGGAGAAGGGCAGAGCTAAAAGAGGATGGAACCTAAGGCTTTGCATAAGACAGGCAAACACTTTTATCTCACTGAACTGCAGTCTCTGACTCCATTTTGGACATCCCCCTCCAAAAAACAAACAAAAAACACCACTTATTTCAAATTAAGGGTATGTTCACATGAATGCAAGTGTCCAAGGAGGCCAGATATACCAGATCCTCCAGTCCCTTGCGACAGCAGCCACCCCCCCCCCCCGTATGTAACCATTGAGCCACCTCTCCCTAAGGTATATTTTTTTCTTTATTTTTATGTGTATAGGTGTTTTGCCTGTGTGTATGTCTGTGCACCATGTGTGTCCAATGACTGCAGAAACCAAAGAGGGAACTGGAGTTACAGACAGCTATGAACCATCATGTGGGTTGGGAGGTTTGAACCCAGGTCCTCTGGAAGAACCAGTGCTCTTAACTGCTGAGTCATCTTTCCAGTCTCCATCTTACTGTTAAAGGTGATGGATGTCTCAGGACCAGTGGCACGTGGACCAGGTCCAAGACAGCCACAGCTCTACAGTGAGCCCCTATCTTAAAATTCTTCATTAACAGATCACTCTAACAGGGGACAGCTCTCCTGTTATGTGCAAGAGGAAAAGGTAAATAAAACTAAATCTCCAGAGCTTGGTGTGTGTGTGTGTGTGTGTGTTATAATCCCAGCATTTGGGAGGCAGAGGCACAAGGATGAGGAATCTAAGCCCAGTCTGAACTACTTAGGACTCTCTCAGAAAAACAAGCAAGCAAACAAAAAAAAATCCAACTGTTAAAACAGATGAGTATGTAGGAGTAAGGAAATTAATAACAGGAGACTTCTTTCACTTCAAACTGCCCATTCAGAAAACCATTCTCTCCTGCTGGCAATGGGGGAGATGATTTTATCTTCTAAGCCTAATAAAGACAACACAGCAGAAATCCACTCAACTTTTAATGACTCAATGAATGATGGGATATGTAGTCTTGAGGAAAGCAGGTGCAACAATTTTCAGGAGAAAGACAAACCTGAAATCAGGTGTGGTGGCAAATTCAGGATAGAGGCAAGAGGATCAGACTGGCACCCAGCAAGGCTTCACAAGATCCTGTCTCAAGAAGGCGGCCAAAGCAAGAAGATCCTGAGTTAGAGGTCAGCCTGGACTACAGAGTGAGTTCCATTTAAACTAGTTGTAAAACAGCCCACAATTCTCCAAATGTATGTATGACCCCTTCAGTCAAAGAAGCTGGACCCAATTGACACCCCCCTCAAAGTTAACAGCATGACTATGGAACTATGATAAATTGTTTCTAACAGAGAACATGAATTCTAGGGGATATATAAATGTTATCTACAATGTGTAATCAGTACTGACTGTTAGTCACAGAATGCCCCGAGCACAAAATATCCTTCTGATTCAGGCAATCTTTAGCTGAGGATTTTTGAATGCGTCCCATCTAAGTCGGTCAGATAAACTTGGAATGTAGCAATCCCGCTGGGTCAGGAGCAAAGACAAGTTATAGTGTAACTGTTAGACACTGTTTTGCTGGTACTTTTGAACAGTTTTGAATTAAGGGTCATTGCATCAGGAGGGCAAAAAATACATATCTATTGAACTATTTCCGTGTTAAATTAATTAGTTTGCTGTGGTAATAATTTTTAAATTACCCAACACACCACTTAAATGACAAAACCAGATATCCTATTTGCTCTTCCTTCCCAAGCCAGTTGCTATGTGGGGGTCACACTTACTCTAAAGAAACTAGGTTTTTGTTAGGTTAAGTGACCCCTGAAGCGGTATACTACTCCTTTACTTTCTCATTGTGAGTCATTTTCTATAATTACCTAAAGCTAACAATTATGATAGATCCTAGGGAAATGATTCATGTTCGTTTACTCTTTTTGATGGACGCCTCTATAGCTTAATGTAAAATTTTGCATGCTATGCTATGGACAAAATAATGGCCTGTCTCAAGGAAGCACTTAAGATCCTTCTGCAGCCACTGAGTGACCTTGGTTAGAAACCAATGGCTCTGAGGTGGGGACAGGAGAAAGGAAACACCTCGGGATCCAGGACCCGTACCTGTGCAGGATCCTCCCTAAGGCTCTGGGATGCCTGCCTGGTCTGTAGACCAAAGGACGTCTACACTGACTCACCTAGATACTGAAAGATACAGATCGGAGGGGGAGGGGATGGGCAAACCCTCCATAGGAAATGCAGCAACAACACGGAGGATGGGACGTGGCCCTAAGCGGGGACCTAGGCTTCTTCCTTTCCGGATCTGGCCCTGCCCCAACCCCCATCCCCGACGGAGCGCCTCCGGGCTGCCACCGACTGACAAGGAGGCAGCTGCAGCCAGGCCCGATGGATAGTGGAAGACGCCAGAGCTGCGTAGGCCCAACCGCTCCCTCTCCCAGCCGGTCCCCCAGCCCTGATCCCGCACAGTGGCCTCACCAAGGGGCGAAGAACTCGACTAGCATGAGGCCCGCTGAGCCCGTGTCGGAGACGCGACTCTCGAAGTTTTCGTCCGTGAGTTCCAGCACGTCAGAGGCGGCGGCGAGGCGGGCCGAGGCGAGCAGCAGCGCCACGCCCGGGAGCAGCGCTAAGCGGCTGAAGCGCATGGCGGCGAGACGCGGCGGGAGCGGCCGGAGGGTCGGGGCCGGGGGATTGAGAAGCGAGCTCCCGCAATCTGCAGCCGCTGCCTGCGCTCGCGCGTCTGGCTGGGGCAGACCTGCTGCCGAGGACCCAACCCCCTAGGCCGGCTCGGGCCGTAGTGTGGCAGTCGCTGATTGGCTGCATCCCGCTGCGTCGGGCGGGATGAACCAGCTGGTAACTGCCGATTGGCGGGCGCGCGCGGCGGGGCGGGGCGGGACGGACGCTGGGGCGAACGCCCGCGGGCCCGGCTGTAGCGGAGGCCGTGGCGGGGGTCGGCGGGAAGTGGGGCTCTGCGTCGTCGCCGTAGCGACCCTGAGCTCGGCCAGCGGAGGGAAGTGGTGCTCAGGGCGCCGGCGCGGGAGGCGGAGGGGTGAAGTCAGGGCTGAGTGGGCGGAAGTGCGCTGGGGCTGACGTGAGGGGAGCTTGAGCTGCCCCGCTCCCTCCCTCACGGCGTTGGGGCGCTCACACACTTGGGCACAATACGACACGTTTCCCAAAGGCCAGGCTGTTGATTTGTCCAATTATAGGGCGTAGTAACCCTACATCCTGCCGCTGCCCCACCTCGAATCCTGCTTTGTCAGGTCCTCGTGAGGACTGTATTCTTTGTCCAGCCTTAGTCCTCTGCCCTCCCGCCTGCTGCATTTTCACTGATTGTTGCTGTTCGTTTGTTCCAGAGGGTGGGTAATTAAGAATTGAACCGGGAACCCTGCACAGTGCTGAGCAAGTGATTCATGCTCTTTTGACTTTAAACTAAGTTTCCCCGATTGGTCTTGAGTTCATCCTATAATACTGTTCTATAATTCTGTCTGACCTTAAAAAAAAAAAAGACAAGGTATCACTGTGTGGCCCTGGTTGGCTTGGGACTAGCTATGTAGGCCAAGCTGGCCTCGAACTCAACAGAGATCTCCAGTCTCTTGAGATTACAAGTATGTGTCCCTATTGCCAGCCTTTTAAACTGATTTTTTTTTTTTTTGAGACAGGCTTTGGAGGCTGTCCTGGTACTCTCTCTGTAGACTAGGCTGGCCTCAAACTCACAGAGATCTGCCTATCTCTGCCTCCCGAGTGCTGGGATAAAGATGTGAGCCACCAACTCCCGACTTTAAACTGAATTTTTAAAAAGAAATATTAATTACAAATGCTGTCAGAAAATGAAAATACCTGGATATTTAGTTGATTGTGGAAATATCATTTATGACTCCATCTTTTGCATAAACAAAAAATCAAAACAAAAATTTTGAGTCCTTCAATATGTTTGTTTGCTCTTAACTGCTTATGGTTTCTTTGTCTGGGCTCCTTAAATCTCTAAAAGGCAAAGAAGGTGGGGAGGAGGGCAGGAAATGGAAAAAGAAAACCTTAATCCTAGTGAAACTCTTGAGAATGAAATGACCCTTGGTTCTATTTCTTAACAGACATGGCACAGGAACAAGGACACATGCATCTACCCAGAGCTGATGCCATTCGTTCCCGGCTCGTGGACACTTTCTCCCTCATAGAACATTTGCAAGGCTTGAGCCAAGCCGTACCAAGGCACACTCTCCGGGAGATACTTGGTTAGCAGTCTGTTCGTTCACACTAAATGTAATTTTCCTGCCCACATCCTCCATGGATAGGAAGCAGAGACATATTTAAGGGTGGAGCCAGGAATGGTGGTATAAGACTGAGTCAGGGGATCCCAAGTTTGATACTAGCCTGGGCTACATAGCAAGATCCTGGTTCAAACAAACAACAACAAAAAATAGGGCTGGCAAGATGGCTTAGTAAAGATTCCTGCTATAAATATTGATGACCTGAATTTGATATTTGATTCTCAGGACCTACCTGGAAGGAGAGAACTGGTTCCCAAAAGTTGCCCTCTGGCATACACACCCATGTTTGAGAGAAAGCACTCAAGGGCACACACACACACACACACACACACACACACACACACACACATTTTTTTTTTTTGGAAACACAGTTTCTCTGTGTAACAGCCCAACAGCCCTAGCTTTCCTGGAACTACCTCTGTAGACTCACAGAGATCCATCTACCTGCCTCTGCCTCCCAAGTGCTGGGATTAAAGGCATATACCACCACCCTGCCAGACAAATTTTTCAGAACAAACAGGTATGGATGATGCTTGTGTACAATTCCAGTACTCTGGAGGTGGAAGCACTAGTAGTTCAAAGTCATTCCTGGTTACTTGGTTTGAGGACAAAATGGGTTGTATGAAACTATCTCAAATAATGGGGCCAGTGAGGTGGCACAGGAAGTAAAATGTCCTTGCTGCCATGTCTGAAAACCTGAGTTCCATACTCAGGACCTACATGATACAAGAAGACAAACTACACACACACACACACACACACACACACACACACACACACACACACGGTTTTAAGTACAAATGGAATTTTAGGGCTAAGAAGCTACACTAAGCTTGATAAACTCAGGGCTTTAGCCCTCTATCTCTTCCTCCAAGTTCTAGTGAAGTAACCCTGACTTTGGAAAGTTTCCACCAAAGATACTTAAAACTTGGAGGTTTCTGGGCTGGTTATGGTGGCATATGCCTTAAGTCCCAGTATTTAGAAGGCAAAGACTGGTGAATGTCTTAATGGGAAAGAGCCTGATCTACATAGCAGGTTCTAAGCCAGCTGGGGCGTGAGGTTTGTACCTGCTGGTTTTGTGAGCAAGGTCAGTGTGAGGCATGTTTTCACTTTACACTAATAGAATGCTTAGTTGTGCCGTCTGTTGGTGGCACACGCCTTTAATCCCAGCACTTAGGAAGGCAGAGGCAGGGGGATCTCTGTGAGTTGGAGGTCAGCCTGGTCTACAGAGTGAGTTCCAGGACAGGCTCCAAAGCTACAGAGAAACCCTGTCTAAAAAACCAAGGAAGAAAAGAATTCTTAGTTGCTTTGAAAAAGTACAGCTTACAAGGCAGAGCTGCTGCTGCATGTAGAGGATCTATTATTTCACCACTGTCCCTGTCCCCAACTCTACCTGCTGTCCACAGACTCCCCCATCTGTGTATCTCTCTCTTCTCCTCTCAGTTTTTCCGGGGAGACTGGGGAGAGAAGGCAGTCCCATGTGTTGCCCAGTCCTGGTAGATTCAAGCTGAGCAACAGGCATGCCCAATTATCTTTCCATTGTTGTTGCAGATCCTTCTCGCCAGAAGAAACTCATGTCGGGAGATCAGCACCAGCTAGTGCGCTTCTCCATAAAGCCCCGGCATATGGGGCACATCACACATTCCCAGCGAATGCTGAGCAGTCTTCGAGTGCGGTGCAGTCAGAGACCACCTCTTTCCCTGTGGGCTGGATGGGTTCTTGAGAGTATCCTTTAGTGTCACTTGTTTTAGTCCCAGCATTCCCCTTATCTGTTAATGACTCATTTCTCCTCTTTCAAACTACTTCCTTCAAATTCTCATATTGACACTGCTGTCCTTGTTATTTCAGCTGCACAAATGACAAAGTACTCTTCTGTGTGTTTCCTTAAAAGAAAACAGGTTCCATCTTCTCGAAATTCATCATCTCGCTCATCTTCCTGAATACCATTGTACTGATGGTGGAAATAGGTGAGAACTGGTGCCCAATGAAAAAGGTCGTGTGTGAAGATGGTTTCCTCCCAACCAGACCATTTCACATTTTCAGATATCTCATTGTGATGAGGACACATTTATTTACTCATCTGCTTTTTAAGACAGAGTCTCATGTAATCCACACTAGCCGCAAACTCCATATGTAGTAGGATGAACCTGACCTCCTGCTTGTACTTTCCATATGAGATTACAGGTGTGCACTGCTGTGCCTAGAAAGAGAAAATGAATTCTAAAAACCCATTAATATATGATATGAACTATGTTAAAAACAGAAGGACAGCTCATTTAATTGTTAACTCAGGCAGATTGGTCAGGTCAGGTATTTCTTAATTTTGGAGGGTTTTACCAGTCTTATTTTCATATTATGTAACTTGATCAAATCACTTATTTTGTGACAATCTGCTTTTGGGGGGGGGTTGAGACAGGGTTACTCTGTGGCTTTGGAGGCTGTCCTAGAACTAGCTCTTGTAGACCCGGCTGGTAATGAACTCACAGAGATCCGCCTGCCTCTGCCTCCCGAGTGCTGGCATTAAAGGTGTGTGCCACCACCGTCCATCAGCAATCTGCTTTTATATATTTATTTTTCATTTTATTTTGTATGTATAGGTGGTTTTGACTCCATGTATACATGTGCAGGCAGTGCCCACAGATGCCAGAAGAGGGCACTGGGTCCCTAGACCTGAAGTTACAGATACTTGCAGCCCTCTGAATGGTTGCTGGGAATAGAATCCCAGGTACTTTGGGTGCTCTTATTGCTGAGCAATCTCTCCAGGCCCTTGTAATCTTACTTGTTTAAAACCAAATGCTTAGGGCTTGTAGTTTAGCCCAAGAGTAGAGTGCTTGCCTAGCATTTGAACACCCCTGAGAGTAGTCCCCAGCACTTCAAGCAAAACATGCTTATTTCAGTTGTAAGGACCATTTGAATTCATGAACCACAAGTTGTGATTTTTTTTTCTAACGCCAGCAAATGGCTTTGTGGAAACATATAGAAATGACAGTGTGCTATTCTGCTCCATAATGTTGGATTTTCCTTACAACCAATGTGAGCTTACCTGGTATTCTATGAAGTGACTGATGTTTCTGTTATGACATAATAGGGAATAGCAACAGATGGCTGCCTATATCAAAACCGCCTTGTCTAATGGAACTGTATACTTTGCCTGGCCTATCTGATTAAATTCCTACCTTCTACTCTGGAGGAAGAATGTCCACCAAGAATTAACTGCAGTGGCTAAGTCTGCTGGGTTGACTATACTGGGTTCTTAGCTCTGTTTACATAGAGGTTCTTTTGCCTTGCTAAGGCAGGGTGGATTTTTGATTGGCTAGTTTGTTGGTGCTGGAATCCAAACCCAGGTCCTCTGTACAAGTAGTAAGCACTCTTAACTGCTGAGACTTGTTAGTGTTTAGAAATGGGTCTCACTCTGTAGCCCAGGCTAGCCTGGAACTTCCCATGTAGCCACAGTTGTCCTCAGCTTTAATACTTCCGCTTTAGCCTCC